GACGAGCCGGACTTATCCGGCTGGATGCACGCCACGGGGGACGAACTGTATCCGGCACTCACCCCCACAACGACGGAGCACCCAGTACCCACACCTGAAGGAGGGGAGGGGGAAGGGGGGCTTCGAGGGGGATGGATGTCAGGGGTTCAGGAGCAGAGGCACAGGAAAGGGAGGAAATAGAGAGCGAGGGGGAGGAGTCCGAAGGAAATGTTAGCGATGACAGCGGTCCGAGGTCTCTGAGTCTTTCCAGCGAATCGGAAGATTCACAGAAAGGGGCTCCCTTGGTCAGAGCAAGGGGGTGCCGAGGGGGACACCCCAGGAAGAAGGGGCCAGAGGGGACTCAGAGAGCAGCAGTTGGAAATCAGGACCAGCGTCCACACCAGAGTGCAGTAGGGGGGAGGGGTCCCAGGCATCGGGATCAGGCGGCGCACTGCCAGTGGGAGGACATGAGTCAGGATTGGCCACGCCTCCATCGGGGAGCGAGGAAACGGTCGAGAGGAAGGTTGAAGGCTGGGCGCGCGCGCCAAGTTCAAATGTACAGGAGGGCGGCGCAGTTGGCAGCCCGGATAGGGAGCCAGGTCCCAAAGCCCGCCGAAAAGAGGGGGAGGAGTCAGGGGGGTCAGCGTCAGAAGAATCCAGGAAGGAAGGGACCCCGGGGGGTAGCAGGACCCAGAGGAGAAAGGAGAGACGTAAGAGGTGGAGTAAGGCTAGAATCTTAAACTGGTGTACAGGGGGCGGAGACTCAGATGGAGCTTCGCCGATCTAACCCCTAGACGTAGAGCTGGGGCGCTGCGGCTTGAAAATGGAAACTGTACTTCAATAAAGACTTTTGTACATTACTGCCGGCTAGCGTTGGTCCTCTGTGAGCTGGGACCTGGAGCCAGCTCTGACAACACCAAACTGGGAGGGGTGGCTAACACCCCAGAGGACAGGATCACACTTCAAAACGACCTTGACAGATTAGGGAACTGGGCCAAAACAAACAAGATGAATTTTAATAGGGAGAAATGTAAAGTATTGCACTTGGGCAAAAAAAATCAGAGGCACAAACACAAGATGGGTGACACCTGGCTTGAGAGCAGTACATGTGAAAAGGATCTAGGAGTCTTGGTTGACCACAAACTTGACATGAGCCAACAGTGTGACGCGGCAGCTAAAAAGCCAATGCAATTCTGGGCTGCATCAATAGGAGTATAGCATCTAGATCAAGGGAAGTAATAGTGCCACTGTATTCTGCTCTGGTCAGACCTCACCTGGAGTACTGTGTCCAGTTCTGGGCACCACAGTTCAAGAAGGACACTGACAAACTGGAACGTGTCCAGAGGAGGGCAACCAAAATGGTCAAAGGCCTGGAAACGATGCCTTATGAGGAACGGCTAAGGGAGCTGGGCATGTTTAGCCTGGAGAAGAGGAGGTCAAGGGGTGATATGATAGCCATGTTCAAATATATAAAAGGATGTCACATAGAGGAGGGAGAAAGGTTGTTTTCTGCTGCTCCAGAGAAGCGGACACGGAGCAATGGATCTACAAGAAAGAAGATTCCACCTAAACATTAGGAAGAACTTCCTGACAGTAAGAGCTGTTCAACAGTGGAATTTGCTGCCAAGGAGTGTGGTGGAGTCTCCTTCTTTGGAGGTCTTTAAGCAGAGGCTTGACAACCATATGTCAGGAGTGCTCTGATGGTGTTTCCTGCTTGGCAGGGGGTTGGACTCAATGGCCCTTGTGGTCTCTTCCAACTCTGTGATTCTATGATTCTAAGAAGAAAAAGAGCACCATCTCCCCAGCTGGGACACAGCAACCCTCTCCAGGGACCCTGATTCTTAGCACTCTCTCATCTCATCCCACACACAACATGATTCCTTTGCCAGAGCTGTTAGGGGACTCCCGGAGAATCTGTCCAAGGACAGCCTTGGCTCTCCCTCTCCCTTGAAGTGCTGGTAGTGGAGGCTGCCTATCTTCCAACATCTCCCCCACCCCTTTTCCCACATCCTTCAGTAGAGCCATCAAAGGAGTCAGTGGGGACTTTATCTGGCCCATCAAGTCACGGTCTCTGGAGGTCTGCAGAATGAGATCATCGCTCCCCACGCAGTCCCCTCCTCTGCAGATAAGGGGCTGGCACGGGTGCTGGGAACAAGGTTGCAGAAGGCAGGAAGAGGAGGATTGGCTGCAGTGCCTCCCTCTCTCCTGGGCTCTGGCCCAAACATGGGTTTCATTCCATCCCAGCAGCGGGTAGCACCAGGCTGACCTACTGAGACAAACCCTTCTGGGGCTAATAAGGAAGAAAAGCAAGTTGCTGCTGCTGGGTGGGTCAGAAGGTTTCTCGATCAAAGGCAGATGATCTCCCTGGGTCATATGTTCTGAAAATGCAGGACTCACTTCACTGCTTTCTGCCACAGGTGCCTTGCAATGACATGGGCAACTTATATACAGACTGAGCTGTGCATAAGTGGGAGCCTAAAGAAAATCCAGGTTTTGGATTTTCCAAAACTAAAGAGGCCAAGATCCTGGGACCACGATGAGGAGACTTAGGGTATTCTCTGCTTGCAGTGCACACCCCCTGCTAGCTTCTGAAGCCACACTCACACCACAATCCATATTGAGCTTGTAGCTTCTTGGCAAATACTGGTTTGATGCATTCACCACTTTTGATCTGACGATAAAAACTGGATGTGGAGTGTTAATGGGAAAATACCCTAACATCAACTGTGCATGTGCAGATGAGCGCAGATGGCAGGTGTCTGGAGGGACGTGGAAATCACAAGGTTCATGCACATCAGATTAAGACAGGGGTCCCCAAACTAAGGCCCGTGGGCTGGATAAGGCCCGAGGGACTCGTTTATCTGGCCTGCGGCAACCCCCGCTGCCCACTCCTACCGGCGCTGCGCAGCTGCCCACTTCCGGGTCGAAGGAGCACCGGAAACAGCTAGTGCGCATGCGCAAGGATTGTTTCCGGTGCACATCCGGGGTGGAGGAGGCCCGTGCACATGATCTTATCCCATGAAAATAGGCAGAATATACACTGTGCAATATGCATAGCAGCCTGATGCATGTGTACTCAGTAGTGTGTCAATGAGGGATTACCCCTAGCAAAATATGCACAGCAAGGGAAGGGAATCTGAGGCCTGTGGACTGAAAACAGCCCTGTCTAGGCCTTGAATCTGCCTACCCACTAGTCTCCCCCAGTTCACACCCCCTCTCAGACCATGCTCACCAGACCTGTTCTGCCTCCTATCTCCTTTTGCCTGGCTAGAATGCGTCGTTGAATGGCAATAATGCCTGTGTGTTCACATGTCCATATACTGTGCACTCAATGTCTTTCCAATAGCTCTGCCCCCTGCCCCACTGCCACGTGACCCCTGAAAGGCTATTTGTGATAGAAAGTGGCCCTTTGGGCTGAAAAAAGGTGCAGACTGATGCAGTCAGCAGCTCAGGCCAGTGTTTGACCTGGCTGACCACTGGGCAGGGTATGCTCCCATCATCCTTGACTGGTGGTTTGGGCTGGAGTCCCTAATAACTGGAGGGCACTATGTTAGTTAGCCCAAGTCAGTTAGAACTGACTTGTTCCGTTACTTTATTCCATTAGTCACTGCTAACTTAAATTGGATTGAGGCTGCTGTGATTCAGAGGGAAAGTATTTTAGGCTTGGTGAAGCATTCAGCTATGACAAACTGACAACCTTAGTTCTCCTCATCTGCAAAATGGAAATAGTACCATTATCTCACACAGAGTTATTTGGAAAATGAAGAAGCCTAGAAAATGAAGCCTGGGGGTTAGGGACAGAGAAGACCAAATAAATGTGCATTTCAAAAAAGGATATATCACCGTGTTTCTGATCAGATGGAAGATTGTAGCTCGAGACTGCCTCTGTCCTTTTGCATCTGCGGCTTAGGTTTTGCCACCTACTCTGTCTCCCTTCCAATTCACAAGTCCTGCATTATTTTTAAAATATGTGAGACTTGCCTGTCATTCAACTATCACAGCTCTAGGGCCATTTTTGTGACCTCCTGTAGCACATGACAAGGTGGATGTGTCTCTTGTGCTGTGTCAGCTTGCCTGTGTTCACCCAGCCTGTGTTTATTTCGGAAGCAGCCTATAAATGTGTTTTCCCCACAGCAAGCTGCGCCCAAACATTCAAAAACCACAAAAAGCAGAGAAGATTTGGAAAAGCGCAAATATGCAAAATCATACCCTCCAACGTTTCTCTGGTGAAAATAGGGACATCCTACTCCAATGAAGGGACGCAGGTGGCGCTGTGGGTTGAACCACAGAGCCTAGGACTTGCCGATCAGAAGGTTGGTGGTTCGAATCCCTGCAACGGGGTGAGCTCCCGTTGCTCGGTCCCTGCTCCTGCCCACCTAGCAGTTCAAAAGCACGTCAAAGTGCAAGTAGATAAATAGGTACCACTCCAGCGGGAAGGTAAACAGCGTTTCCGTGCGCTGCTTTGGTTCGCCAGAAGTGGCTTAGTCCTGCTGGCCACATGACCCGGAAGCTGTACGCCGGCTTCCTCGGCCAATAAAGCGAGATGAGCGCCGCAACCCCAGAGTCGGTCACGACTGGACCTAATGGTCAGGGGTCCCTTTACCTTTACCTTTACTCCAATGAATGAGTGAATAAATAAATAAATAAATAAATATTATTGTTTATACCCCAACCATCTGAATGGGTTACCTCAGGCACTCTGGGTAGCTTCCAACATACATGCATATATAAATATAATATAATATAATATAATATAATATAATATAATATAATATATAATATAATATAATATAAATAAAATCACAAAAGATTAAACATTAAGAAAACTTCCCTATCAAGGGCTGCCTTCAGATGGGTGGCTCTACATGCCCGTGAATTCGGAAACAACAAAAACCAGAGCAATTTAGTCAAAACGCGGGATCAATCCAATATCGCCCCCCTCCCCCCATAAAACCAATCTAGGCTTAAAGCACAAAAACACAAAGCCAAAGGGGCAAGTTCGCTTTCCTTCCCCTACTGACCGCTTTCTGCCCGTCTCCTCCGCGGCGCCGCCCCCTTCCCAGCGCGCTCCCCTCCCCGCCCGAGAGGAATGGTCCCGCCCAGCTCTTTCCCTCGCGCCGCGAACGGTTTCCCTCTCAGGGCCCGGGCGGCGCCAGGTGACAGCATCCGGCGGCGCCCTGGGGAGGAACCAAGTGCCTGGAAGACGGAGGGGTGTGCGCGAGCTCTGGGATAGCGGGAGCTCCAGGTGAGGAGAAGGAACAACGCCCCCCCCCCCGCATGGGCCGGGAGGGTAGTCGGGGGCCGCTGTCTTCCTCGCGGACGGCCCGCGACCGCCCACCCCATGGCTGTCAACGGGCTACGCCCCGCTCTCCTTCCTTGGCCCTGTGAACGGGACCCGCCCCCCTCGGGCGTGGGTGTTTGTGGGGGGCTCTGGGGGTGGGAATGGCGTCGGGGTGTGTCTCCCCTCAGCCTTTGTCTCTGAGGAGAAGGGAGGTTGCGGTACGTCAGGGGCGCAGAATCACAGAATTGGAAAGGGACCCTGAGGGTCATCTAGTCCGACCTCTTGGCGGGGTGAGGGGGGTGGGGTCCCCTCCTGCGTTCTTTGTCGTAGCTGAATCTGTATTTGTTTCTTGCCAGGGCTAGAAATATAAAAGGGTGCTTTGGGTTAAGGGACGGAGGGAGGAATTCGTCAAGGGGCCAAGGTCAAGCTTTTGACAGCCCGACTACTTGAGAGTAAATCCCGTTGACATCTAGAATAAGAGAGCAAGAAGAACATACCTTTAAAGAACATTTATTGCATATATGGAAAATAATTGCGTACAGCTGAAAACACCTGCAGTATTAAGATAAATTCAACGGTGTAAATAAGTTTTGATGGATGTAACAATGGAAAACCGATTAGTACAGTTTTTGTGACATATGCAGGGATGTAAGATATGTAAAATGAACCGTGGGAAGAGAAGAAGGGAAGTCGCTGATATCCTGAGTAGGTAAAATGTTTATCTGAAATTGTAAAACAGAAAATTTAATAAAAATCATATTTTTAAAAAGAGAGAGAGTAAATCCCATTGATGTCTCTGGGGACAACCCTCAAGCCAAGCATGTCCAGGTTCAGAGCCTGGACTGAGGAAAGGGAAAGGGTGGCATAAACAGACCTACAGTACAAGCGGAGAGCGCACAATAGAGACAAAGGCAGGATAGAGACCAAGAGAAATGTTTTTGTCTTTGGGGAAAGGGTAGGAGCTGCCTGGCAGTTGGAGAAAGACTGTGTAGCATCAATTGCTTTTTTTTTTTTTTAAAGGATATAACAGACTTGGCACATGTAAAGCATATGTGAATCTCTATCCTTTTGATGTGCATGTGACAGGAATGGGGTTTTAAATCTGCTCACCCAAAGACTGTAAAACCATTGAATGGCCATCCTTGAATGTTTTTTGCAGTCTTAGTTTCAACCTTCCAGCAATCCTTGTGGCAATTGTGAATAGGTGGAGCTCTGTCCAGCGCATTTCTTTTTTGTCTCTTCTTGCTGCTTCTTTCAGTACATAAGACCAGTGTTTCCCAACCTTTGGTCTCTAGCTGTTTTCGGACTACATTTCCCACCATCCCTGACCACTGGTATTGCTAGCTAGGGATGATGGGAGTTGTAGTCCAAAAGCAACTGGCGACCCAAGGTTGGGAAACACTGCATAAGACCATAGGAAGCTGCTTTATTCTGAGTCAGACCTTTGGTCTATCTAGCTCAGTATTTTCCATAGTGACAAGGCAGTGGGTCTCCAGGGTTTAAGGCAGGAGTCTCTGCCAGCCCTACCTGGAGACGTCAGGAATTGAACCCAGGACCTTTTGCGTGCAAGGTAGATGCTCTACCACAGAGCTATGGGTGCTTGGGATGGTACATTTTAAGCTGGAGACCATTCGCTGTGAGTCCCGAAACACCAGCTCCCTGCCTTGCAGGCCTTTTCCACCTGGCCAGCCTGGGAGGGCGGGACCCTGGCTCATTCCAGCTAGAAAAAGCTGAGGTGGCTGAACAGGAGACATCTGACTCTCTAGACAGTTCTGGACTTCATCTCCCATCAGCCCCAACCAACAGGGCCAATGGTCAGGGATGACAGGAGCTGTGGTCCACCAAGGGTTTTGTAATTGATTGACTTTAGTGGCTAAACTCTATGCCTCATCCTGCCAGCACTAGGAAGGCTTTGGTGAACCTCTGTGGGAAGAGAGCCTTTTGGAATGGCTGCTGAGAAATTATTACAGTCGTACCTTGGACGCTGAACAGAATCCGTTCTGGAAGTCTCTTCAACTTCCAAAACGTTTGACTTCCAAGGCGTGGCTTCCAGTTGGCTGCAGGAGCATCCTGCAGCCCATCGGAAGCCGCACCAGATGTTCGCCTTCTGAAAATCATTTGAAAACCGGAACAATTGCTTCTGGTTTTCGATCGTTCAGGAGCCAAAACGTTCAAGTTTACAGGCGTTTGGCTTCCGAGGTTCCACTGTACTTTGTCACTTGAATGCCAGCCTTCTCATCGTGTCTAAAGGTCTTTAGGTGAGGTTCTGCATTGTGTGCCTTTGTCACCAAGAAAGTCCATCCAGGCCTAGTCTTGACAATTGCAGATGAAGAGCTAAAAGTACAAGCCTAGAGAGGCCTACTTATAAATAACCTTCATTGTTTTCCAGTGAAGCTTATTCCCAGGTAAGAGTGTATAGAAGAGCTTTCCAAACTCTTCATGTTGGTGACACACTTTTTAGACTTGCATCATTTCATGACAGTTTTACTAGCAAACTGGAGGTTAAACTAACCCCTTATAAGAGTGTTTGCTCGACACACCTACACACTGCAGCCGACACACTAATGTGTTGTAACACAATTTGGAAAGCTCTGGTGTATAGGATTGGAGCTTAAAACTGTTTCTGGCTTATATGATGTGACTTGAATTCTCTCCTGTGCAATACAATAACAATCCCTCCAGATTGAAAGTTAGCATGTCAAGGCGAGGAGCTCTAGCCTAGCATTCACCAGCCGTGCTGATTATGCAGGGTCTTATCTGCTGTGGCTCCCCATCTCTGGAATTTGATAATCTTTCAGAAGGCTTATGAAGGCCTTTAGGAAAGCTGCTAGAATGCTGGAGGTGTCATAAAGTTAGTTTTAATTTCCTGTTGCTTTTTTGATCAGTTGGCTTTGGGGGGTGTATGTTAGAAGAGTTTTTTAATGGTTTTTATTAGTGTTTCTTGTTCTAAGCTGCATCAAGAGCCCCAGGGCCTGTACTTTAAGCAGAGTATACATTTTAAAATGATAATGAATTCTCCATTTAAGCAACCCTGCCCTCAGATCTTAGTAAAATAGGTGCTGGTGTGCTTCCTCTCTTGCTAATTGCCTGCCAATATTCTTTCATTTCCCCCTCTTGAGTCTCCCCCATTAGCTAGCCTCTTATTTTCTTTATGGGTCTGTCCAAATGAGCCCTATTACATTATTTTCTTTATTACTTTACAGGCATTCCCTACTCTGACACTTATCTTAATAGGCTCTATTAAACAGGCCCTAGATAATAGGACCGGGCAGGCCAATTCCTTGGCAGATGGTTTTCCCTTTCCATGGGCCTCTGGTTCCATGACAATCCTAACATTAGTGGGTTGGGTTATTTCAAGGGGTGGGAGGCCATTCAATGGGAGCTATGTACTTTCCTCACAAGTGATGTCTTTTGTCAGTAAGAACAGAAAAGAATCTTGTGGCAATCTTAAAGACTTAACACCTTTATTTTGGCATAAGTGTTTTATAAACTACAGTCCGCTTCATCAAATGCATGACATGGCTGGCTGTTTGAGGGGAATCTGGTGTTTGGATTTGGGGTGTTGGCTGCAATGGATGGGTTGCTCATATGAGCTCCAGGTTCTCTTTGTAACATGAGTTTTTCTTCCTTTCCCTTCCACAGGGCTGGAATAGGGGGCATTTGTTGCCCCCACGATGGCTTCTGATGTTGGAGATGCCCAAATAATAGAACCCCCTTCTGTGTCGCCTTTGGAGACTCGCGCACCCACGGTAAAGGAGCCCCTTATTGGGGTGGTGGGAGATGGGAGGCAATGCCTAGAGTCCGGTTTTGTAAGTCAGGATTGGGTAAGAAAAGAAACTACCCTTTCTGCTCTGTGAAAGAGAGGAGAGGCTTGCTGCCTCTGTTGACACCCTGTGCTACCTCTTGGCTTCTCCAGAGGAAGACTAAGAAGAAGGGAGGGTTGCCAGACGCCAAACGGAAAGGGCGGGCCAAGCGGTTGAACAAAGATGCGGAGGATCTGCTCTCAAGCATGCAGCGATTGGTAGGTTGAGCACTTGGAAACGTGAGCTTTGGTGCTGGGGAAGCAGCATTGGCTGTTGGGGAGTGTTTGGGTGGAGTGTGTACACATGCATGCACCCGTGTGGCCAGAGGGACCTTGGAAGATGGCACTCTTGCTGGGGAAACTGAGCTGACGGACTGTGTTTGGTCTTTTTTCTGGAAATATGCCCTCATTTGTTCTCATAAGCCCTTGGGGGCAAAATGCTTTGGCTCAGTGCTGTTGAGAAGGTGCCCTGTACATGCACAGAAGTACCTTCCTATATTGTGTAACGAGTGAGTCCCTCATCAAAACGTTGCTGGGTAAATTCCTCTTCAGGATGTTAACCAGACTGCTCTACTCTTTTTCCAGGGGGCTGCAATTTTAGCTGCTGAAGGATTGGCCACCTTAGAAAAATATAGCTATTGGTATCTAAGATGTTACCTGATTTCTTTTTAAGTGAAAAGCATGATTGTGATGGATGGGAGTGGTGCTATATGCGTGCAGTTGGGGGGGTTAAAGGAGACTCCCCACACACTTTACTTACGGCGCTGTTCAATATTGTGCCTTTTAACTAGGATCTCACCACAGAATGTGCTACACCAGTGGGGACCGGCCTGGTTTGGGATGAACGGATGACACAGTTTCACTGCACATGGGATGAAAGGTATTTAGGAGTGAAAGCGTGGTTTTCAAGTCTTTGTTTTGATGGCTTGATACCCAGAAAACTTAAAGTGGCTTAGATTTCAGGACTTCTTCCCTCTCATGAAACTAGAATCCAGGGCCATACAAGGAAGCTACTATACTTTGGCTCCACAGCTGGAGGCAGGATGCTTCCAAATACCAATTGCTGAAAGCCACAGGAGGGGAGAGTGCGGTTGTGCTTAGGTTCTGCTTGCGGACTTCTCATAGGTGCCTGACTGGCCACCATGAGAACACGATGCTGAACTAGATAGCCCACTGGCTTGATCCAACAGACTCTCCTTATGTTCTTAAGCTGAATGTTAGAAGCCTTCCTGCCCCATTTGCAGGCTTCCCACTGTCTGAAACCGAGCATTGGACGTTGATCCGATCGATCAGGGCACCCATCCCATTGGACTCAATAGACCATCATGCTGTGTGAAGCAACATGATTAAGATGGAGCTGATCCTGACCCTAAGTTGCATAAAATTTTCATAATTTTCTTTTATATCAAACAACTCTTTTATGGCTATGTCCAAATCCAAAGAGTGTCTACATTTGAAACTGGAGCCTATTTCAGGCTGAAAGTAATGAATTTGGCCACTTCTTATGTTATGACAAATTATTATAAATGCTCATACCCCCCATATATATATATAGAGAGAGAGAGTGTGTGTTTCCTGTCAAAAGACAAGCAGGGAAAGAACCAACTGAGGCTATCTACGTTAGCTGCTCTACAGTCTAGATTGACACCTGGGAACCTGTGTCTGCCCCCACCTCCTCCACTGAAGTCAGTGGACCCAAACTCCCATCAGCTTAGCTAGCGTGGCCAGTGGTCAAGGATGATGGGAGTTGTAGTCCAACAACACCTAGAGGCCTACAGGTTCCCCAGCTTTGATCTAGATGGACTGATGCATCGCTTCTAAAATCTGATGTCACCAATTTCAGACCAAACAATTGTCACAGCTGTAACCACTTTCCTCAGACCATGTAGTTATTCCTTGCCTCTAGCCCCAGTTTCAGTGTCCTACTCTCTAAAACCCTGATATAATATGGGGTGTATTATATAGGCATGCCTAAAATCAGGAGTTGGGATGTGTGTGTTTTTCTTCTGCAAGGTGAATCTCCCCTTCCCCACTTCATACTTCAGGAGACAGACATTCTCGCTTCCAAGTCATACATTGACTTAGGCCACAATCCCATACAAACTTAACTGGGAGTAAGACCCACTGAAGCTGATGTGGCTTATTTCTGAGTAGACATGTCTAGGATAGCAATGTTAATCTTCAGTTTTGATTCTCAACATAAGAGGGCTGCCTGCCTTTTTTAAATTTAAAATGATGCTTGTATGCTGTGCTTTTGAAAGCTTATTTGGCATCATATTTGGAGGTGGGTCAGTAGAGAATATCAGCTCCAGGAATATTGAGAAAGGGGATTGATGATGCCTGAAATACCAGCTAATGAGCCCCTTGTACTGCTTGTTGCTGCTGCAAACTGGTGTAGCAGGTTTCTCTCTCTTCCCTGAGCCTCCTTCCCCAAACTCAATCCTTGGAGGACAATGTATACCAGACCAAAAACAGTGTGCATTATTTCACTTCCAAAGCACGCACACGCCCCCCCCCCATTGCAGCTTTTAGGAACTTCCTTTGCCCTTGTTAACTCGGTGTCAACCTTCTTATGATTGTTTCTACAGATGTTTGAATGCCTTGAAAGAGAATGGGAGGGGGGAAGCTGTGGGGGAAAGTTTGTTGGTTTGAAAACACATACTAAGATATATGTGGATAATGTTACCCTTAGGCCCTGCTAGACTATGTTTCCCCCATTATGCACTCTGCTGCAAGCAGTTTGGGAATCTAATGTATGTTTCCTAATTCCAAAACCATTGATTATTTTTTTCCCGGCAGGGGGGGAAAAGTACCCTTGGTTTGGATGTGGGTAAATATATAATCCTGAACTTATCCTCCTTTGTGCTGCCTGTACATCCATGCTGTTTTTTTATATATATTATTATTTCATCCCACTTGACTCACACTTCCAGTGTAGTCTGAACACAGTTCCACCACACACTCTCCACTATTCTTCCTCTCCCTCTTGGTTTGCCTCTCTTGCCCTTAATATCCGGCCATTGTGTTGCCCCTGCATTCTTGGCCTCCGCTCCAGTGCAAATCTCATGATAGTCTTCCTCTGGAGGGTCTGTGTTTCTCACACTTGGAGAAAAGCAGTTGCAATTTCATCATTTAGGCTGCAATCCAGTGCAACAGAGATTGGGAGAGAACCTAATTGGGAGATGCTAATGGGTAGTCGTTCCGTTGGCTACGTTGACTGGGGCTGATGCAAGTTGGAGCCCAGCGACACCTGGAAAGCCACAAGTTTTGCATCCCTGATCTAGAATCTGGTTTTGTACTTGGCAGGTGCAACTGGTGCAGCGGGACGGTACTGCACTGTTGCCCTCCTGAGGGTGAGGCTTTGTGGGTGCGCAGGTGGCGCCTTCCGCTCAACACTTGCACAGCCCTGACCTTAACCCTGCATCATGCCAGTAAGTGCTGTTAGGAGAGCATTGGCACGACACCATGCCAGCCACTCCACAATACTTGTGCGGCTACCCGCAAGCACCTGTCTCCTGATTCCTACACAGATTCTTTCTCCTGTACCATTTTGGTTGTTTCCTAAATCGCCATAGCATTCTGGGAGCCACATCCATGTGAGGTGGGAAAGGTAACTCTGATAAAGCAAGAGACTGGTTCCTTCCAATACATATTACTGGAGTAGCATGAGATTTGGCCACGCCAAAGAGGCTGTCACACCACTCCCACAGTGGGGAGACTGTTTTCTAGAATCAGTGAAACAAAGCAGCCCTTTCCCACCCGCCCCAACTCGGATTGTACCAGTTCAGGCTGAAGGTAGCGGAATTTGTGTGTGCATAATTGAATGGTCCTCCAAGTGCCACCCCCTCCCCACCTTCCACAATACAACCCTCTCTACAAGTACTAGTGTACCAGGGGGAAGAGTTCAGCAACTCTCCCTGGAGTAATTCTTTCCCCCTATTTATAATAATAATCCTGGGGTATGTGCTTCTTTTCCACATGGGAGCATTCAAGCAGGGCATCTTTATGGACAGCATAGGAGCCAGCTCCAGGTGGTCTTGGGTGCTTGGGCACCCACAATAATATTATGGGGGCCGGGCACCCACAAAGTCGATGAGCAAAGCCAGAGAAAGGCAGGCAGCCTCTGCAGCGCTGCATCCAAGATAGAAGCAGTTCAGCTCCACCCTGTGCAGCCAGCAAACAGGGCATCCTCTTCCTGTCTCCAAGCTGCTCCCTGCGGAAAGGAGGAGGAAGAGGAGCTGGTGGTGGCTGTCTCAATGCAGACATGCAACGTCACACACATGCGCCTGCATATAGTGCTTGTGACATCACATGCATGGCATGCAACGTCACATTACGTTTTTGGAGGAGCTCCCCATTGTGCATCATGCATGTGACGTCACAAGCACTATGTGCAGGTGTGTGTGTGATGTCGCATGTCCGCGTTATGGCGGTGGGCACCCACAGTCCTGAGGGCAAGATAGTACCCCTGGTGGACAGTCCTTTATTCCCATCAGCCCCAGCTAGCATGACCCAGTGGTCAGGGGTGACTGGAGCTGTAGTCTGGCCACATCTGGAAGGCTGCTGGTTTCCTTTTATTTATAAATCTATTGCCATCAAGCCTAGTTAGGGACAGAGCAGTAAACTATATATTTGAAATATAATAAATGAATGACTAGAGAATTGTTCGAGAAGCACTGAGGATTGAGTTTCCCATATTTTAAGCAGGAGCTTTTATCCATTACCATAAAAGCTCAGAGTTGCCATGTGTCTTCGTAAGCTACTAGATTCTCTGAAAATTGCCATCTTCTGCACATCTATTCCAATTTCAAAAGTCTCACACTTCAGACTACTCAACAGTAGCTTCTGATTGTAGTCTGTTGTTCACTCTCCTCACCTGTTCTCCCCACTGCCATCCATAATCTGCAACCCAAATATCTCATTCCCTTCCACTTTAATTCCAGTCTCCCCTATATCCCTTCCTGTCTTCTCCTTCTTTCATTGTGCTCCTTCCTTTATGATGATGGTGGCTTAAAAAGTCTTGATAATAAGGCTTTCCTTACCCAACCCTGCTTGTTTTGCTGTAATTTTTAATCTGTCAGATTAAAGGGCTGGGATCTTGATAAAGATTACCAACTTGCCTCTAATCAGACATCATCAGAGTCTGCCTTGGGTCAAGAGGTATCAGTTGTGCCTGTGTGTATTTTGTTCAGGTTGGATGTTGTTGCTATTTCTCCCTTTCTTCTCAGGGCGAGAATCTCCCTGCAACACCCCCTCCACCCAAATCCTTCCCGACTCCTTAGTTTGTTTGTTGACCCAAAGCATCCTGATCCTACCTTCCTCCAACTTAATGTGTTTTTGATTTATCCTACACCCCTCTTTGTTACCTCTTTCTCCAGTTTCCCAGAGTGTCCAGAGCGGCTGGTAGCCATACGAGACAAATTGCTGCAATGTGGACTGCTGGAACGTTGCATCCCAGTCGAGGTGAGAAGAAGGGGAGCAGGTGGGGGCAAAGAGGAACTCAGGGGTGGGCAGAAGGGTTGAGAGTCAGTGTAGTGACTGAGAATATCAGACTAAGACTTGGAGAGACCTGAGTTCTAATGCTCACTCAATCTACTGTGACGCTCAGCTGGGTGTCCCTGGGCCAGTCACTCACTCTTGGCCTAACCAACCTTGCAGGATTGTTGTGAGAATGAAAGCAGGAGGGGAAAGAGCTACATAAGCCTCCCTGAGCTGGTTGGAGGAAGGACGGGGTGAAATCTAATAAATAATAGCTGGGGAATGAGAAATCCAGAATCTTTTCCCCAGGTACTAAACGTTCATCTCTTTCTTTACAGGCTCAAGAAATTTCTGAGGAAGAAATCCTCTTGGCTCACAGGTAAAAGCAGATGTTCGAGCTGTAGGGTGGGGGGGAGGCAGGGAGCTGGTTCATGGACTTGTAGAGGAGATATGGAGATTGTGCATCATTAGAAAGCCTCTTTGGAAAGCCTGGTCCTGCTGATATGCGTTGCATTTTTTTGTTGGTTCAGGATAAAATGAGTATATAGAAAGGAGAATTCCTGGATGCCAAGATCCACATTTGGGACAAGTACTTTTTGTTGGGGGAACCCAGCAGAGACTTAAAATCATAAAATATGCTGCAAAGTAAACATGGAAATATAGGCTGTTAGACCTTTAAAATATGTCCTTCCAAGTTCTTTCTCCTAGCATAGAAAAAAACCACATGTTTAGTAAGTTAAAAATGGGTTTTTTTCCACCACATGTGGAGGTGTGTGCCTATGGAGGTTCAGCCTCTCCAGCATTTAGATGAAGTTCCTTGGTGTATCAGCGCCAGCTTCTGTGGTGTTAGATACCATGTAATAGAAGCAACTCCAGAACTAGCTCTTTTAAATACCTTCCAGGAAAACAACAGACTTGCACACGACAAGGAACTCATGTCACACTCTTAGCAGCTAGAAACATCATAACTAGACACTGGAAGAGCCTATATGTACTTTTCCTTGTTTATTTGTTTCTTGTAACATAAGAAAATCTTTAATAAAAAAACTATTTTTTAAAAAAGGTTTACTTACAAACTTTCCAAAGGTCAGGTTCATGTGTTTCAGCATTCAGAAAAAGTTGCACAGGCAGTAAAGCTTGGCTTAGTTCCAAAGTGGTGAAAGTTCCTAAACTATTGGTATTGAAACTCAAGAGAGACTTGTTGGAGCCATACAGTCTGAGCTGGAGCACCGGGCTCAAACCTTTTTATTCACAGAGCTTCTCAGGTAGTTTGGAGATTGAACAATAGGCTTGATTACCCATTTTCTCCCAAGATAGGAGAAGTGACCTTGCTAAGCCTGGCAGGATAGCTTTCTGTATGGTATTGACCCATTCATCCATTATAATTTGACTTAAGCGTGATGGTTATATGAGGCTGGTTATCCCACATTTTTAACAGCCCTGAGTACTTGGCCCTGATGAAATCTTCTGAAACCATGAGTGAGGCTGAGCTGAGATCTCTGTCGGACACATATGATTCTGTCTATCTACACCCAGTGAGTATCCACAAAGCTCTGTACGTTCCCCATGGCATGGTATCTGAACAACAATTGAGTCATCTGAGCTTTTTTAAAAATAAAAAGAAGAGCAAGTTTCTAGCTCCTATGGTTAGAGTTGATGTTTCCTGACCCAGAGCAGTTGACACCTATGCTGTGGCTCTGGAAGCTTCTGTTGAATTTAATCACTCCTTTGCAAGAGCATCCCTCTCCTCTCCTTCATACTGTATTTGCCTGCAGTCTGAGGCTGCATATATACCATATATTTAAAGTGCATTTAGAGCACGCACCCCCCAAAAAATATCCTGGGAACTGTAGTTTGTTAAGAGTGATGGGAGTTGCATCTCTGTGAGGGATGAACTACATTTCCCAGGATTCTTTGGGTGGGTTTAAATGTATTGCTTTAAATGTACGCTGTGTCTATGGAGCTTGAGAGAATCCCTTGAGGATGTATGGTGAAAATATATAGGTGGCAAGAGGGCCCTTAAGCTCTTGGGTGGGTAGCCTGTTTATGGGATACAGGGTATAGCATCTGTTAACCTGGCTCTCTTTCCCCTACCCCAGAATTCCTACCGCTGCGCCTGCCTTGCTGCTGGTTCTGTCCTGCAACTTGTGGAGAAGGTGCTGGCTGGGAAGCTGCGTAACGGCCTGGCTCTGGTCAGGTATGGCAGAAACAAGGATCCTTTTTGTTGTTTGATTTGAGCGGGGGAGTCGTGCTTAAATGTGGTCCTGGAGCTCCATCAAGAGCACACTTGGCTCCTCAATTTTACAGGTTCCCTCGCAAGTGTAGGAAGGGACATAAATTCTCCCAGTCTGTTATACGCAAAGGACACATGTGCTTCTCTTTGGTGTGTCTGTCTGTCCTTTCTTCCTTTCTCTCTCTCTTCACACCACAAGTGAGGAGGAAGGTAGGGGAGAAATGGTAAGGAAGGAAGATGAGTATCCCTGGTGCATGCACGTGCACACACACACACACACACACACACACAGGGCCAGATTTAGGTTTGATGAGGCCCTAAGCTACTGCAGGTAATGGGGCCCTTTATATGTCCAGCTGTCCTTTGTCAACAACAAATTGTCACTGTTTGTTGTGTTGAATATATGACAAATAGTTATTTATGGACCTAAAAGGTATCTAAAGTCATTTGCACAGAACAAAAAATATTTTATCAAAGTAATTGTTGTAATACAGTTAAGAAGTATATTAATAGTGAAATACAGTTAAGAAGAAGTATATTAATAGTGAAATAATTACCAGTGATATTTTAGGGAGCAGGCTAGCAGGCGGTACCCATTACTTACATCATAGGAGCCTACACAACACAAAACACTGTTGTTGTATGTAGGTTTAATTTTATTTGTTTTTTATCTTATATTTTGGAAATTTACATCCAGGGTTTTTTTCCTTTAATTTTTTTGGGTGCCCCCAAGAGAGTGGGGCCCTAAGCTGCAGCTTGTTTAGCTTATACGTAAATCTGCCACTGCACACACAACACAAGAAAAGTGAGGCCATGACTTCTGTGTTTGCTGCATGATATCTACAGCTGAATTTTTATACATTGAAACAGAGAGCATACTAACCTTGCAAAACATATTTGATTTATGCCACTTTAATAATTCTCATGACTTGGCACGGTGGTTCTGAGAATTCTCACAAAAGCTTATGCCAGAATAAATGTTAACAAATTTAGGGTGCTACAGGGCTCCCAGAGGTTCCTGTTCCCCTCCCACAAAGAATCAGGGATTCTCTGGGGGAGAGGAAGTAAGCATTGAACCAGTCCCCTCCCCACTCCCACAGAATTCAAGAGCAAAACAAAGAACAAACAAGAATAATAATATTAAAGCAAAAATATCCACACCTGGAAAACATTTACCGTATTTTTCGCTCTATAACACGCACCTGACCATAACACGCACATAGTTTTTAGAGGAGGAAAACAAGAAAAAAAATATTCTAAATGAAACAGTGGATGTATGATTTTTGTGGTTCATGCTGTGGCCACAGACATGTGATCTGACGGTGAGTTTGAGGTAGCCCAATGCAAAATCCTGAGGATCCATGTGGATCCATGCTTTGTAACCACGTTTTTGCACCACTGCGGCCCCAGGCAACAGTGGGTGCGTGATTTTTTTGGTGCAAGCTGTAGCCATGGACATGCTATCTGATCTGATGGTGAATTTGGGGTGACCCAGTGCAAAAATCCTGAGGATCCATGTGGATCCGTGCTTTGTAACCACGTTTTAAGTGGGGAGGGAAGGAAAAGCACTGAAGGGACAAGGAACACGCGTGGGGTGGGTGGAGAAGGATGCTGTTAATAATGCAGAAGAGGGGTATAAGAGGAGAAGCAAGCAGGCTCTGCTTCTCTCCCTCCTCCCCGCTCGCTGAAAAACTTTGCTGCTATTTAGCGAGCTGAGTGGGGAGGAGAGAGGGACATGGTTGCTTTAAAGGAGCCAACTGGACAGGAGCCGCTTACACTCGTGTAAGTGGCTCCTCTCCTCTCCCGCTTTGCTCCTTTAAAGCAAGCAGGCTCTCTGTCCCTCTCTCCTCCCCACTCAGCAGCTCTTCTCCCGCTTTGCTGTTTCAAAGCGAGCCACGGAGGAGGGAAGGAAGGGGAACCATGGATCCTCTGCTCATGACTGCAGCAGATCCCCCCGCCATCCATAGGCATTCCCTCCATAACATGCACAGACATTTCCCCTTACTTTCTAGGAGGAAAAACGTGAGTGTTATGGTGCAAAAAATACGATAGTTCCTCTGAACGAGGGCTGGGGGGCTAATGGGAGGAGCCCCCCTTGTCTGATCCAGGAGCAGATGTGTGGTTGTGCTTTTCAACTGCTTCCTTTTCATGGTGCTTTCTCACAAGACAGGTGTGAGAAGGCATGTGATGATGTCTCCAACACTTTTGGGAACATCCCCTAGAGGCCCACCAAAGTATAAGGCTGGACACTTTCTGGAATCACCAAGTCTCTCTTCCTGATGTGACATTCTCGTTCTGGGGTTAGCCAATGTTACCTTTTTGGTTTCAGGCCACCTGGACACCATGCTCAACGTGACAAGATGGATGGCTACTGCATGTTCAACAACGTAGGCATCGCAGCCCAATATGCACGACAAAAATTGGGAGTGGAGCGGTGAGTATCGTGGACCCATGTCGGAGGTGCATAGAGGCAGGCCTCCTAAATGAAATCCTTCATTTTTAGAGCACGTATCCTCAATCCTCAAACCTTTCTCATAGGGGAGCAATCCAGGACTTTGGTCCTCTGTTGAGCGAGGATCAAGGCAATTAATCTACCAAAGAGGAGTCTTCTAATGTCCCTTTTCCAGACTTTTTCAGCAGTGGATCTTTGCCTCCCTTTTTACAAAGAAACATGGCTGCTTTTGATGGAAAGTTGTAGCTGCTTTGTAGAAAATACAGCAGCCACCCGCCTTGTACTTATGCAGAAAAGGATTGTAGAATTATGCTGTGCTGAAGTTTCGGTAACAATTTGCCATTTCTTTTAAAGTAAAGTGCAGCTGGTACATTTATGTCAAATTGTGCATAGCATAGCAGCTAAGAAGCCCCTGGTTCCAATGTCATCTTTGCCACGAATCCATTAGCTGTCCTAAGGCTAGCCAGTATTCTCTCGGCTTCAGAAAATCCATCTATCCTGTTGGGGGTAATAATATTGGCCTACAGGGCTGTTAAAAGCAGCATTACAGTAATTAGGGGATGCCTGAATATTAGAAATAAAAATACTAATAATTACATAGAAATGGAGCTGGGTTTCATCAGCATACTGGTGGCATCTTATCCCAAATTCTGCAGGTCTATAATATCTAGGACTCATTGGAGGGATGTCATTGACAGTGAGCATTGATGGTAACTTTTCTTTTTTCAGAAAGCTGAGCTGTGTGTAGTTCTCTTTTATTATTGGTGACCCTTCATGTTTCTTTCCCTTCTAGGGTGCTTATTGTTGACTGGGATGTGCATCATGGACAAGGCACCCAGTACCTCTTTGAGGACAATCCCAGGTGCAGAATAAAAGGGATCAGAGGGTATTGGGCAAGGCTGTTTGGGGGTGAACAGGAATTTGCAAAAGAAGGGGTGGTCTAGTTAAATATGGGCTGCAGGCTGGAAGGCTTGTAGCCCAACTGGGCTAAGAGTGCTGGACCAATGGGCAATATTTCTCCTCACTGCTGTATCTGCCATGGTTTCTGTTCATAGCATCCTCTATTTCTCCATCCATCGCTATGAAGGGGGCAGCTTCTGGCCCCACCTTTTAGACTCTGACAGTCATGCTGTGGGCAGAGGTCGGGGAGAGGGCTACAACATCAACCTGCCCTGGAATCAGGTAGGAAATGCTAGTGGGTGGGGTGCCCTTTACCTGTAGAGTGATTTACCTGTGTGTTTCATTGCCACAGCCCCAACTCAATAGTGGCAGCTCTAAGACAAGGTTTTTTGTGTGTCTGTTTGTGTTTCAATGAGTTGCTTATGGATTAGGGCTCTCCTTCAAGAGTTTTAATGTGCTCTGTCTGTCCCTCCAGATAGGGATGCGGGATGCTGACTACCTCTCTGCCTTTTTGCATATCCTGCTGCCTGTGGCCTTGGAGGTGAGGATTGGGAAGTAGAATTGTTTGGTTAATGGGAAATCAAGTGAGATCTTTGGCTTACCCATTTCCTTTTGGGTTGTTTGTTTCTTGCAGTTTCAGCCCCAGTTGGTCCTGGTTGCTGCTGGTTTTGACTCTGTAATCGGTGACCCCAAGGTATGAAAATGTCTTTTGCAAACTCTGCAGAACAGCCCTCGCTCCACAGCAGTGTTCAGGCTTCTGTCTGAAGGGAACCATTCTACATAGAATTCTTCCAGAGCACCTATTACCCCAAAGAGGATTTAGGAGTGTGTCCTGGACTCACATTTTCCATGCAGAGTCTGTTGGGCCGCACGCTTGCCCTGTAAGAGGGAACTTATTGGCTTAGAATGTGCCCAGCCCTGTTGCTGCGCATTGCAGGGAACAATCTGCAATTCTGGACAGACTGTTTTCACCCCCTCATCTGCTCAAGTGTTGTTCTTCCCGCCCTGTCCTAAATCCCCCAGACCAGCTGATAGCCAAGGCTTCTTGTCTCCTGTCTTGAAGACGTAAAAGAGAGAACAGGAAATGAAGTGATTCTCTGGCCACTTTGCACTTTGTGAACACTAGTGACAAGATGAGGCCAGGCTGCAAGCCCCGTTCTCCCCCTCTTGGTTCCAACATCAGTGGTGAGCAGCTTGAGTGAAGAGCTACTGGCACCAGGTGGGAAGGAGCAGATTGCTCTCCCAGCTTCAGCTTTTCATTCAAGCTGTGATTGGTGGGTGGGTGTGCGTGTGTGCATGCTGGGCGTGCTCATGTTCTTCCGTGTTGGTGAAAGTGATTTGGGGTGAAGGATTGCAGGGGCAGGAAGAGGGAGGGAAGGAATCTTCTTCCCACCTCTCATTCTGCAAATCCTCTGGTCCCTGCTGCTTCCGTGCTGCTTATCTAGATCTGAGGCGTGCTTGAGCTCTAAGTAGACAACATGGTGGCACTTCCATCTGACTAGGAGGCAGAGGGGTCCTCCATCCCTTCTAGCAGTTGTCCCCAGCTTGGCTCCCCCCCAGGTGATGCTGGACTCCAGCTCCTGTTATCCCTGACTATCAGGCATGCTGGCTAAACCTGATTGGAGTTGGACTCCAAGAACATCCGGAGGGCACATTGGTTAGATTGCTTTTATGGGGCCTAAAACACAATATATTAATTAGTCCTGTATATCCAGCCCATGGAGCTGCTGGAGGCCCTCTAAAGAGCTTCTCAGGGGGCTGCAGTGGAGGCAACTAAGTCACCTGACCCTCATATTTTTTCTGGGTTTTTAAAATCTCCTCTAGTAGAAACCACTCCCCACCCAGTCAGCCTGTACCCCAAAAGTAAGATATGAGAGCAAAATCCCCCACTTCTTTTGCATCTGTAGGGGGAGATGTCAGCCACGCCAGCATGTTTTGCTCACCTGACACATCTGTTGATGCCGCTGTCTGGAGGCAAGCTGGTTCTGTCTCTGGAGGTGAGCAATGTACACTTTCCATCTTGTTCCTGGGCGAAGGAGAGCGGCTCCCGTACAGATCTAGCTGCTCTCCCAGTGCAGGGACTGTGGCTGTCTTATCTTTTCCCTTTCCTCCTCATTTTCAGGGTGGCTACAATCTCCAGTCCCTGGCAGAGGGAACCTGCGCAGTCCTCAAGGCTCTTTTAGGAGACCCCTGTCCTCTGCTGGAGTCTCCTCTTACCCCGTGTGCCAGGTAAGAGAGCGGGTGCATTGGGCCCCTTCCCAAGCATTGTGCCTGAGCGTTTCCTGATGGCCGCCTTCACTTTTCCCTCCCAACAGTGCCCTCTGCTCCATTTCCCAGACCCTTGCAGTTCACAGCAAGTACTGGAAGAACCTCCGGAGAACCAGTGAGTTCCGCAGCCTCTGCCTCTGTTTTGCCCTCTTTCTAAAGTAGCAAGAAACAAACCTGGTCTTCTTTGGTTCTGCTCGCTTCATGCCAGGGCTGGCCCTGCCTCAGACAACTTGATTTGGGGTGTCATGAAAAGGCATCAAATGGTTAACTCTTTAATGTGTTTTATTATTGCCAGGAAGTGGGGGGCAACAGCCCTTGTGGCAGTACATGCTGCTTGTGGCTCTTGGTGGCTCTGCCTCAATCAACAAGATATCCTGGGCCAGACTGTCTTCTTAGCCCCACAGGCTGCAGCTCCTTCCAGGAAGCAGAGGAACCCAAATCCCCTACTTTTCCCTGCCTTCCCCCCATAACGATTCAGGTACTGATGTGCCTCGGGAGAATGGAGGAGAGGCGGGCACAGTTTTTCCACCAGGCCACCCCTTGCCAGCAGCCGAGATCCTGTCCAAGTCAGCGGCTGAGCTGATGCTACCCCGGCCCCCTTCCTGCACTGGGCTGGTCTATGATGAGAAGATGACGGAGCATTACAACATGTGGGACAGGTAGGGATCAATTCCATGCACAGCTTTTAATGCAAGGCTTGTGGTTCCTCTGCCACCATCCTGTGCTGCAGTTAGGCTTGAACAAAGCCTCCTGTGGGAGCCAGTGGAAAGTTTCCCCCCACCCCCAAGCCCCAATACAGTTGCAGGGAGTTGGCTTTGGAAAGGGTTAACTACTGTCCTCTCAGCAGGAGCATCCCACACATACACCCTTTCGATGCCCATGCAATGTGGGAGAACGATAATACTTACAGGGTTGCTGCCAAGGTTGCAGCTGCACCAGCAGTTGCCCAGAAAAGAAAGCTTCTATTGTGGGGGGGGACTCTCATTCACTCCCCCAAGAGCTTTTTTCTTATGTATGCAAATAAGGATGTGGGGAGGTGGCGCTTCCAGATCAGGACCACAATGTAGGGATGAATGGGGTCTCAAGAGCCAGTGTGGTGTAGTGGTTAAGAGCGGTAGACTCGTAATCTGGTGAACCGGGTTCACGTCTCCGCTCTTCCACATGCAGCTGCTGGGTCACACTTCTTAGCCCCACTCACCTCACAGAGTGTTTGTTGTGGGGGAGGAAGGGAAAGGAGAATGTTAGCTGCTTTGAGACTCCTTAGGGTAGTGATAAAGCGGGATATGAAATCCAAACTCTTCCTCCTCCTCCTCCTCCTCCTCCTCTTCTTCTTCTTCTTCTTCTTCTTCTTCTTACTATCTATATTCCCCCCCCCCGCAAGGTGGCTATTTGTGGAGGGGGGAAGGGGGGAATTACATAGCTGGTCCCTAAAAAGTGGGCAAGTGACGTCCTCGCCATCTCTCCCATGAAGTTTGGGGGGCAGGTTCCCACACCCCCTTGTCCTCCACTTTCCTCCCAAGTCTTGGCGCCCGGCCTTCCCTTAGCGCTCCCTCTCTTCCATAGCCAGCATCCAGAGCTGCCTCAGAGAGTCTCCCGGATCTTCCAGCGCCACGGGGAGCTCCGCCTGACGGAAAGGTGCTGCCGGCTCCCGGCCCGGCTCGCCTCTGAAGAGGAGCTGCGGATGTGCCACAGGTGGAGATGCACCCCCAGATTGCAAGAGCCTTTGCAGCTTCTGGAAGTGGGTTAGGGTGGGTGTCCTGGAAAGGGCGGGCTAGTAACTTCTGAGGCTCCGCCCTCTTCCTGTGGGGGGGGGGGTGCCGACTCTGTCTTGCGTCTCCTCTCTGCAGCCTGGCCTATGTGGAGACGGTGAAGTCAACAGCGGCCATGAAGCCCCGTGACCTGCATCGCCAGGGCGACCAGTACAATTCCATCTTCATCTGCGCCAGCTCCTATGAGTGCGCTCGGCTGGCGGCTGGTTCCGCGTTCAGTGCAGTAGAGGCTGTGCTCTCTGGGCAGGTGAGTGCTGGAGGCCTAGTGGGGCAGGGGGTGGCCAGTCATCTTGCTCCAGGTGCAGACCATCCTGGAGGCCTGAAGGCAGGACTGAGTGGTGGGGGACTCAGGGAAAGACCCTGGAGAGGAGGAGTCCTAGTGGGCACAGGGAAGGCAAGGACCTTCAGTCCTTGCAACTGCTTCATCAGGGCAAGACCTCCTAGAAAGAGTTGCTGAGACCACTAGGCTGGCGCTGTGGTTTGTTTCCTTCAATAAATAATTAACTTTTTAATTTATGTATTTTTTTAAAAAAATTTTTTTGTATTTTCAATTTTACATAAGCATATACCGTAATCCCTTCTGATTTCCCTCCCCCCCCCCCCCACATTGTAGATCTTAATGTACAGCGGTGCCTCGCAAGACAAAAATAATCCGTTCCGCGAGTCTCTTCGTCTAGCGGTTTTTTCGTCTTGCGAAGCAACCCTATTAGCGGCTTAGCGGATTAGCGCGTTTAGCGGTTTAGCGGCTATTAAAGGCTTAGCGGCTTAGCGGCTAAAAGGCTATTAGCGGCTTAGCAGCTTAGAAAAAGGGGGGGAAAGCGAAAAAAATCGCAAGACTCACAAGACGTTTTCGTCTTGTGAAGCAAGCCCATAGGGAAATTCGTCTTGCGAAGCGCATCGAAAAACGGAAAACCCTTTCGTCTAGCGGGTTTTTTGTCTTGCGAGGCATTCGTCTTGCGGGGCACCACTGTAATGATTTCCCCATCTGCATCTCTATCATAACTCTATTTTTATAAATCCTTTGTCAGTCCATAGTTCAAATTTTTACTACAAGTTTTCTGTCAATTCTACCAGTGTTTGTAATTGTTTACAATAGGTGTTCAAATAAATTATAAACTTTCCCCATTCTTTATTAAAGACCTCCTCGTGGTTTCTAATTCTTCCTGTAAGTTTTGCCCTCTTGGCATACTTCATCAGTTTTGTCTGCCATTCTTCTTTGGTCTGAGTGATACCATCTTTCCATTGCTGCACAGCTGTGGTCGCATACATAAATAGTTTTGTCTGGTCCTTCGGGATCTCTGGTCCTATAATACCTAAAAGAAAGGTTTCTGGTTTCTTAGGAAAAGTTATTTTAAACATTTTCTTCAGTTCATTATATATCATTTACCAGAAGTCTTTTATCGTCGTACATGGCCACCACATATGATAAAAAGTACCCTCTTTTTCTTTACATTTCCAGCACATTTTAGACTTTGATTTGTACATCTTAGCTAATTTGCTAGGAGTTAAATACCAACAATACATTGAAATATTGTTTCGTTGCTGACCTGTGCCTGACTCCAGCCCTGATACTATGGTACTGACCAAGTTCACTTTTTCCTCCTTTGGGGCATCAGGTCCAAAACGCTGTGGCCATTGTCCGGCCCCCTGGGCACCATGCTGAATCAGACACCGCCTGTGGCTTCTGCTTCTTCAACTCTGTGGCCTTGGCAGCACGATACGCACAGCGCCTTGCTGGACGGCCTATGAGGTACAGTGGCACCTGGCTAACCCCTAAGAGGCACAGAGCACCCAGAGAGGACTAGCCACTTGACAGCAGCATTGCTGTTGTGTGCTGAGAGGGGGTGGGGCTTGCTGGTGATGAGGTCAGGGATGTAGAGAAGCACCTGAGGACAGTTCCAGATTCCCTCCATCAGTCTATCTGCATAGCCCCACAGAGCACATCTCGTTCTACAAACTTCAGCAGGTTTAGCTGTTATTATTTGTCCCCCACCAGGAGTCCTGGGAACTGTAGTGCTGGTGGCCTGGCAGCCTATTTGCAACTCAGTTTCTAGCATAGATGTAGCTGCTTTTCTGGTTCTTTTCCTCAGGGTGATGATACTAGACTGGGATGTTCACCATGGCAATGGGACACAGCACATGTTTGAAGACGATCCCAGGTAACCTATTTTGCTTCCCATCTCCCCTGTTCAAAGAAACTCTGGCACTAAATCTCTTCCAAGGCTGCAGATGCAGGTCTGGTGGTGGGGATTTCCGCTCAGCTTCAGGCTTGAGATGGGTAGTTCTAATTCCTTTTCGATGGAGGCTGTGAATTGGGGCAAAAAGCCTTAATGCTCTGCATCAAGAAACTCATCCACCTTATACATAGCTGGAATAAGCCATGTGGATCACAGAACCATTTACTTATTAATTAAAATGTTTTAAATCTTGCCTTCCATTTTAAAAAAAACATGCAAGGCAGTGTTAAAAACAGAAGCATCAAGTAACATCATAAATAAAAGTTATTTTTTTTAATTTATAAATTTTTATTGGAAATTTTATTTACAACATAACATAACCCCCCACCCCCCATACAGAAATCCACCCTCATTAAACGTGAACATAACATACAACGAGCATAACATACAACAATACAAACAACCAAATAAAAGACTTTCTTTATCCTGTATCTGGTCTCCTTATTTACTTCTTATAAGCTGTTTCCTTTATGAATAATTATTAAGATTTTTCTAATTATAACTTAAATATCCACAAAGTCTCCTGCAGACATTAATCAAAACAAATCTAGGTATGTATTTTAGGGCACTGTTTTGTGAAGTATTCTCTGCATTTCCCCCATGCTTTTTGAAACTCTTGTCTAGTGTGATCTCTAACTGCCTCTGTCAATCTAGCCAATTCAATATACTCTAACAGTTTGTTTTGCCATTCCTTTTCTGTTGGCACAGTTTCTTTTTTTCAGTTTTTAACAATTATTTATTAGCTAAAAACTAATTGCTAAGAAATAAAAGTTATAAACAAGCAACAACAGGCAAGAATAGCCTTCGTGCTTTTTCTTCCTGCTGAGCCGAGTTTTGTCTTTTAAACAAACCTTAAAACTTCTGGTTAGACGTGTATGTAGATTTATTTTGTTGTGGTCAATAGACCAGAATAGCAAGGGAAAGGGCACAAGTCATCTGTGCAAGGTGGCAGAGGCCACAAGAAAAGAGATGGGAGGTGTGTAAGCCCCTTCGAGGCTGAGCTCAGTGGTGGGACCAGGAACGACCTAGACTCCTGTTCTGCCCTTGATCATCCAGTTGTGCCCATGCAATTCCTAGGCATCCTGATTTGTGATTGGGGTGTGTGCAAATGAAGCTGCAACATCCCCTTTCTCTGATTGCTTCCCCTTCTTCCAAATTAGTGTCCTGTACGTCTCCCTCCACCGCTATGACAATGGAACTTTCTTCCCCACCTCCGAGGATGCAGACTATGATCGTGTAGGCCTGGGGCCTGGGGAGGGCTTCACCCTTAACGTGCCTTGGAACTGTCCCCGCATGGGGGACCCTGAGTACCTGGCTGCCTTCCATCAGATAGTCATGCCTGTCAGCTATGAGGTAGGCAATGTTTGGGGCAGGGAATGAGGGTGGATTGGTGCCAGTCTCCACTTCCTGGAAGCCCAGGCACACTCTTGGGCTTGTGGCACAGATAGGGTTCAACACAGGAACATAGGAAGGGCTCATCCAGACTTCAGCTTGTCCCTTGCCTAGAAAGCACAGATCTGAGCAGTTTTCCCCTTGTCCCGCTCCTTTCCCAGGGAAAACCCGCTCTTTAGCTATAAAACCTGATTGCCGTTTGTTCCAATTGATCGCTAAAGAATGGCATTCCCCAGGGGAAAGCAGCAGGGGAAGAGGGAAGTGCGGATGAGCCTTGACTGACATCAGCTCTCCGGGGTTTCCAGCAGGAGTCTCTCCCAGCCCTATCCGGAGATGCCAGGGATTGCAAAGCCAATGCTCTAACCACTGAGCTATGGCCCTTCCTCAAGGAGCAGCCATTGCTTCTCCCAATGAATGGGTAGTTTGGGGAGGGTGTGACAATGCTGTTAAGAGGCTCCTAACCAGCCCTGCTCCTTTATAAGTGCCGGAAAGACAAAATGATCGGTCAACTAGTTAGTAGTGTGGATGTGCTTTCAGACTTGTAAATAAGTGCTGGACTGCAGCAATGGAAAATGGGGTGGGCAACCAGCTTGGCTCAGTGCAAGCAGTATTTGGGCTGGGCTGGACGTAGTCCTCACCATTGACAGTGCTGGCTGGGGCTGACGGGAGCTGGAGTCTTTGGAGGGCCATCCCTGTCCCAGGTAGATGGATATGCCTAATAGATCTGAGGAGTTAGAAAGGGGCTGAGGGAGCAGCATTCTTCTCTATTGCATCTTTGGCCAGGGAGGAAGAGCGAGAAGTGAAGCTACAGGGAACAAGGCAGAGGGCCTTCTCGGTAGTGGCGCCCCCCCACATAGAATGCGTGCCATCAGATGATAAGATGTTAAAACATTTAGGAAACATCTGAAGGCAGCCCTGTATAGTGAAGCTTTTTAAGGTTTAATGTTTTTATATATGCTGGAAGCTGCCCAGAGTGGCTGGGGCAACCCAGTCAGATGCTGGGGTACAAATATTTTATTATTACAGTGGTACCTCGGGTTAAGTACTTAATTCGTTCCGGAGGTCCGTACTTAACCTGAAACTGTTCTTAACCTGAAGCACCGCTTTAGCTAATGGGGCCTCCTGCTGCTGCTGCGCAGCCGGAGCACGATTTCTGTTCTCATCCTGAAGCAAAGTTCTTAACCTGAAGCCCTATTTCTAGGTTAGCGGAGTCTGTAACCTGAAGCGTATGTAACCCGAGGTACCACTGTATTATTATTAAGGGGAATTAAGGGCCTCTTCTATTTGCAGTTCAATCCAGAGCTGGTCCTGGTTTCTGCTGGCTTTGACGCTGCTCGAGGGGACCCGCTGGGCGGATGCCTCGTGACCCCAGAATGCTACGCACACATGACCCATCTGCTCCTGGGTCTGGCCGGAGGCAAGGTGGCAGTTGTCTTGGAGGTAGGACAGAGTGCTTCCTTTTACCTCTTGGGGTGCACGGCTTGTGAGCCATCTCCAGGGCCAGGAAACACCTGGTTGTTCAGAAAGGGGTGGAGTACTGCAGGAAAGTAAATGCGGGGCTGGCATCCACAGCAAACAATTCCGACAGAGTGGTGAAAATAAATAATACTTTTTTGGAGCTGGAACCCTGCGGGGTGGTAAAAGGTGGGGAGAATGTTTCAGGTGGAAACAGGGAAATAGTTAAGTACACCTTCTCCATTTCAAGGCCTGGACATTTTGCAAAGGTGAAAGGGCTGCCAGGGTTGGCACTGCAGCACAGTGACTCGAGTTTGCCTCTCAGTGAATGGCTGCCACTCAATGCTGTGGGAAAAGCAGACTTCTGCACTTGGAGGTACCTGTGCTGTGGGGCAGGACTCTGCCCTGGGTTCAGCCTTGGCTACTTTGACAGGGAGGAAGAGATGACAGCCAGGATGCAAACCTGAATGTCACCTTCAGGGGTCCTGACAAGGCATTAGCAGTGGGCATTTTACTTGTAGTAGAAACAGTCCTCATTTGCCCTCTTCCTTTCATAGCAAGTAAGGGCTCGTCCCCATGTCTAAAAAGCACAGATCCAAGCAGTTTCTCCCTTGACCTGCTCCTTTCCCAGGGTAAACCCTCTCCTTAGCTTTAAATAGGAGCAAACGTCAATCCAGAGAAAACCCAAATTGCCGTTTGCTCTCATTGAGTGCTAATGAGTGGGTTTTCCTGGGGGAAAGCAGTGGGGCAAATGTGAACGAGCCCTAAGTAATCAAAGCCAACATTTCTACACTTGCCCTCCCCATAGTCTCTACTTAAAGGCTGCTGGTGTAGCCTAGTGGCTAAGCAGGTGAACTGCAACTCAGGAAGCCTCTGGTTTGGAATCTCCCCCCTGCCACGAACTCGTTAGGTGCTCTTGGGCAAGCTGTACCCTCTCATCCTTACCCCATCTGCAACCTGACTATAATGATTTCTGGCCTGCTTTAAAAGGCTTGTTGTGACAATTACCACAAGACAACATAGGTGCGTTCAACGTCTGTTGTACCCTCGAGCATTATGCATCGTACTTTTCCGTGTATTAGACAAGGTTTTTTTTACTCTAAAATAAAGTTTTAAATGGGGGGGGTCCATCTTATACATGGATAGTGCAGAGGGGGGACGGGTGATTGATTGCAGCCGCGAGCAGGATTTAGGGATTGGGTGGGTGAATGGTGTCGGCGTCAAGGGCTGCTTTGGATTGGCTGCTGCTTTGTCAAGTGGGTGGGTTATTTGTGGATGCGTCAAGGGCTGCTTTGGATTGGCTGCCACCTCGGCAATTTGGTGTGCGTTGCTTGCGATTGTTAGTGTTTGTCAGTTGGGTGAGTGATTTTCTGCATCCCCCCCCCCCAAAAAGTAGCTCAACAACTCTGGTCAATCCTCTGGGCCATCTCCCCCCATTTTCTTTAATTTTAGTCCCCCAAAATAGGAAGCGTCTTATACATGGGGACATCTTATAGACAGAAAAGTAAAGTTGGCCTTCTTTTCATTGTTGCTTCCTCACATTTCCCCCTCCATCATGGCACACAGCAGCCATCATCATTCACGGCACCACCTCCCCAGTGGACCCAGTGACAGTGGGTCATAAGGACTAGAAGCTTCTTTTTTGTATTTTGAATTCCAACAGAGGTTCTTTGGGATAGCAAATTCCACACCTACAACGTGAACATGCAGGACTTGCCCAGCAGACTTGTACGTGGTTGCATCTGGGGTGCAATTTCTCTGAACTTTCCTTTCCCCCTTTTCCAGGGCGGCTACAACCTAGAATCGATCTCGGAATCCATGACCATGTGCACACGCAGCCTCCTGGGGGATCCTCTGCCCCCGCTGGGACGCCTCAAGGCCCCCCACCCCAGTGCCCTGCAATCTTTGGCCAATGCAGCTGCTGTGCACCGCAAGTACTGGGCAAGCCTGCGGCTGGAAGGTGAATTGTCTCTCTCCTGTCCTCCTCTGTTCCTTGGTGGTGAATGCTCTGCATCAGAACTATTGCCATGTAGAGGGTGAGGGTGTGAGCTGGGGGCTGATAGGTCTCTGCTGTGAATTCACAGAATGGCCTTTAGGCATAGCTCTGTTTGTCAGCCTCATCACCCTCCCCCCCTCACCTCTCCTGCGGGTCAGGGAGTAACACTACTGGGTTGATGTAAACATTACTGCAGGGGTGGTGGACTCTGGATTCTGTCAATTTTGCATATCAAATGTTACCAGTTCCAACCTGCCAAGTTGGGTGTCTGCTGCAGATGAAAGGCAGCGACAGGGCACATCTCAACCTGCTGAGCAGCTTTAAAGGGCCTGGGAGCAACTGCCAGGAAAGTCCCAATACAGGGGGTGGAGATTGGGTTGTGACTCTCCCACATAGGTGCAGCCCAGTCTCTGTGTGGGCTGTGTTTCAATACTCATTGCAAAAGAGGGCCAGGCAGAGAGGCTGCAGCTGAATAGGTCTACAGGGAAGCATAGAGGAGAGGCCTGAAGTTAAAAGTGCACAGGTAAGGCAGTGATCAGACCTGAGACTCCAAAGAGATGGAGGGGGAAGAAGGGCTTTGTGGTGGAATAGTTCTGTGGCTATTCAAAAGAAAATGCCCTGGAATGCAGAAAGTGTGGGTCGAAGCCACTTTCTCCACAGAGCACATGCCTTGCCTTCTTACATCATGTGGTGGAAGCCCCACATTTCCTTTGCTAAGCCACTTGTGGAAGATCACTGCAGCTGGTGCTCATGGCCTGCTCAACCGCAGCCTCTCTCTATTTCCTCCTGAAGCTTCGAGGTGCATGTTAGGCAAGCTTCAACTTTCATCTGGGGGTAATCTCCGGTGATATCTGCCTCCTCTGCAAAAGCTACATAGGGAAGGAAGTAGGACAGCTTGTTGGGGGTGGATATTTCAGGGCGATTGTGATGTCAGCAGCTTTTAATCTCAAGGTTGTGGGTTCGAGCCCCACATTGGGCAAAAGATTCCTGCTTTGCAGGGGGTTGAACTAGATGATCCTCACAGTCCCTCCCAACTCTGCAGTTCTATGATCCTGCGCACCTAGCAACCAGCACAGCTCAGGAGGAGGGCAAAGAAGTCTCCTTCTGAGATGGCACTGAGGATTGGTAGAATGACTGCTGATGTCACAACATCCCCTTATCTACATGACACTGCCAGGAGGGGGTGAGCTTCAGAAGAGGACCGGAGAGAGTTGGGGGAGGAGGCAGGGGCCTGAGGACAGGGGGGAGAAGAAGCAGGTGCCAGGAGACAGAAAGGCGAGGCAAAACAGGCCAGGAAGGGAAGCTGGAGTTGGCACTCTCCTATCTCTCTGGCTCCGTTTGGAACAATTGGACGGCAGCTCAGTGGCTGTGGGAAGAGGAGGAGCAACCTATATCTTGTCTCCCCAGTGCCTGCTCCTCTGTGGGAGAAGCCCAGGACTCGAGCTGGGAAAGGAACTCCCATTCCAGATGAAATTCCCCCAGAGGCCCCCCAGGAGCTGCTTCAGAGCCCCGGCGCTCAACCTGTGAATACCTTGAATGATGCCGTTTTGGCTCTGAGCTCCCTCCAGCTGGAAGACCGCCTTGCGGAGGAGGCAGAGACAGCTTCCAGTTCCCTCTCACCCGATTCCAGTCCGGTGGGCGAAGAGGCTGGGCACAAGGTTGGGGCCTCCCCTAGAGAAGCTGAGCCAGCGGTGGATACCCAGAAGGAAGGCATGTCGACAGGGAGCTCCACGGGTGGAACGGAGTCTCCTGGCAAAGAGGCAGAGGTAGGTGCCAGGCAGCTGTGCCAGTGCAAGCCATGGTGTGCGGGCTCACCCACACTTGCGCTTGCCTTGCTGCTTTCCCCTGGGGAAACACGCCGTTTACCGCTGAATCAGAGCAAAGCAACTGGGTTTTCTCCGGATCGGTGTTAGCTCTGATTTAGCCCGAAAGAGCAGGCTTCCTGGGGGAAAGGCAAACCCATGCCTAGAAAGCAAGAGACAAATGAAAAATTGCTTGGGCTTGTGCTTTCTAGGCATGGGAGAAGCAGAAGTGTGAATGAGCCCTGATTTGTGTTGTAAATCTGACTGGAGCTTTTAAAACTGGAACAGACATTTGAAGGTTTGTCAGGGACAAAGGAGGAGTGATCCTGGGGGTGCCTGTAACCGCCAGGAGGGAACTCTGGGAGTTGTAGCTCTGTGAGGGGGAACAGGAATCTCTTAGCAACTCCTAACAAAATTTGGCATCCTTGAATTCTGAGATCTGTAATTCATGAACAGTGCTAAGAGTTGTTAGTAAAGGTAAAGGGACCCCTGACTGTTAGGTCCAGTTGTGGACGACTCTGGGGTTGCGGCACCCATCTTGCTTTACTGGCTAAGGGAGCCGGCGTACAGCTTCCGGGTCGCCACCCTTATTCCCCTCAGAGCTACATTTCTCAGAGTTCCCTGGAAAGAGGGACGGACTATTGAACCACTCTGGGAGTTGTAGCTCCGTGAGGGGGAGTAGGGATCTCCTAGCAACTCTCAGCACCCATTAAGAACTATATCTCCCAGATTTTTTGGGGGGAAGCCATGACTTTTTGTAGAGCTGTCCCTGAGATCTAAATGTATGCTGCGACAGTGGCCTGTGCTCGGTTGAATCTTGCTGTACCTGCCACACACTCTTCTCTAGATCAGTAGCTTTTCTGGACTACCCACTTTTTTTCTTTCCCCATTGGCTTGTTTGTCATATGGCTCCTGCGCAGTGAAAAGGATTCTGGGGTACCAGCCCTGCTTGTACGCAGAATGTACCTAGAAATCACCCAACCATCCTCCGTGGCTTCAAATTGGAGGGAGAAGATTGATAGTGCTGGGCAAGCTTATTCTGGGAACTTGTCGTCTGTCATATTCCATAAAGGCTATAAAGCAAGCACCCCCAACCTTCGGCCCTCCAGATGTTTTGAACTACAATTCCCATCATCCCTGATCACTGGTCCTGTTAGGTGGGGCTCATGGGAGTTGTAGGCCAAAACATCTGGAGGGCTGCAGGTTGGGGATGCCTGCTATAAAGAGTCCTGTTTTGGGGCACGGTGGCGTGGAATTACTACTCTAAATCATGGGTAGGCAAACTAAGGCCCAGGGGCCGGATCTGGCCCAATCCCCTTCTAAATCCGGCCTGCAGATGGTCCGGGAATCAGTGTGTTTTTACATGAGTAGAATGTGTGCTTTTATTTAAAATGCATCTCTGGGTTATTTGTAGGGCATAGGAATTCGTTCATTTTTTTCCTTCAAAATATAGTCCACCCCCCCCCCCGACAAGGCCTGAGGGACAGTGGACTGGCCCACTGCTGAAGAAGTTTGCTGACCCCTGCTCTAAATCCTTCTGGTTTTTTGGACCCTGGACCTCAGCCTGTGGCATGATGCCCACTCAACGTTTCCCCAAATCTCTGTCTTCTTTCTCCTCCCCCTGAAACAGCATTTCTTTTCTAAATAAGAAAACACAGCAGAAAGGGGGCCTAAGCTGCTCCCACACAAGCCTTTTCCTCCAAAAGGAGGGCAGGGGGCTGGTTGCGCTCCCCTCCCACTTCACTGCTTGTGTTTCTACGTACTGGAGGCTCCTTTATTCTAGAACTGTAGCGTTGCCCGTGGTGTGCTTGGAATGAAAAATCGCTGGGTTTCACGTCTCTCTGATATCTGAAGCAAGACCTGACCCTAAATCTCACTTCTCTTTCCTCCATCGCCCCTGCTTCAACCAGGTAAGCCCACCGGCTGGCCCCCCAATGCTAGCGGAGGTTATTCTGCTTGACGAAGCTGCAGGTGGCTGCTCTTCCTCCTGTGACCCGCTTGAAGAAGACCTGGCAGATGAAGTAAGTTTGGGGAGAGATGGGAGGGTACCTGGGATTGGATTTTCTGGGCTTGGCTGGGGTTGAGGTTGGGTGCCAGGATGCAGAGATGATACTCTCTCTCTTTCTAGGGGTTGTTTTATGCTGTGACTCCCTTGCCATGGTGCCCCCACCTTGACTCAGTGCTCCCTGTGCCTTCCCTTGGCTTGAATGTGCTGGAGCCCTGTGCAGAATGTGGCAGCATGGCAGAGAATTGGGTCTGTCTGATTTGCTACAAGGTAAGGTGGGCAAAGTGCAAGTAGATAAATAGGTACCGCTCCGGTGGGAAGGTAAACGGCGTTTCCGTGCGCCGCTCTGCTTTGCCAGAAGTGGCTTAGTCATGCTGGCCACATGACCCGGAAGCTGCCAATAAAGTGAGATGAGCTCCGCAACCCCAGAGTTGGCCACGACTGGACCTAATGGTCAGGGGTCCCTTTACCTTTAAGGTGGGCAAGTGGGGGGGGGGGGCTTAGGTAAACTGGGAGTGACCCCCACCATCCATAAAGTGAATTAACAGTACCGGGTTTTTAGGTTTTTGTTTTTTTAAGGGTTGTGTTTTAGTTGGTTTAACAGCTAACAGATAAGCTATCACTACTGGAGCTTCGGTAATGGGGGAACCTCAAATGATGGCAGTCTGGAGTGGGGGGATTAGGGTGAGTTTTATTAATGACTCAGTGGGGTTTTGCACCTATATCTCCCCAGTCCTAGCCCAGTGCTCTTAATTGCCACACTATGCTGTCTTTTTTGTACCCCAGTTACATTTTCGTTGGGAAAGATTGTTTTTTTCCCCTTTCCCTCCTTGCTGTGGGGTTCACTGTATTTGTTGTATGCAAGGAGATTTCTCTCCATGTTGTATTGTCCTTAAACATGTTGAGGCGCTGTGCAGACTGCCTTCTGCGGCATGCTGACTTGCCTCCTTGAGTTCTCTGAGGTGATCCACTCCACAGTACAGTGGTACCTCTGGTTACGTACTTAATTCGTTCTGGAGGTCCATTCTTAACCTGAAACTGTTCTTAACCTGAAGCACCACTTTAGCTAATGGGGCCTCCTGCTGCTGCCGCGCCGCTGGAGCACGATTTCTGTTCTCATCCTGAAGCAAATTTCTTAACCTGAGGTACTATTTATGGGTTAGCAGAGTCTGTAACCTGAAGTGTATGTAACCCGAGGTACCACTGTATCTGCTTTCTGTCTTCCTCCTCTGTTTCTGATACTTGCCAGATGGGGTGCTGATGTGTGGTCCGTCCTCTCTAAGAGCAGAAGAGTTGAGCTTCAGATAGCTGTCCTTGGTTTATTCATTTTCAAATGAGTCTATTTGGTCCATTCCCAAGGTTAGTCTTGTCTTTTGGAGCCATTCCCACCATCATCTAAGCCTGCCTTCTTCCACCCCATTCAGGTTTGCTGTGGCCGCTACATTAAGCAACATATGGTAGCTCACAACTCAGAGTCTGGGCATCCGCTGGTTCTTAGCTTTGCGGACCTCTCTGTCTGGTGCTATGGATGCCAAGCCTATGTCCACCACCCGGTGAGTTGTGTCGTGCTTTGGTACTTTTCTCACCCTTTCCTTTCCCAGGGGTTTGCCCTTCAGCTTGGAAATACCAAACCAGTGTGATGAGATGCACATTTGCTTGGGGAACGGACACCCCCACCCCCATCAGTCCTGTCATTCAACACAAATGATACATAGCCATCTGAGCTGCAGTGCTTGGTGGAACATCAGTTGGGGTTGCAAATCATTACTTGAGGCTTGGGAGGTGGTGTGAAGAGCTTTCACCCCTCTTGGGGAGCCCCAAGATAATCTGATGGCTGTTGCTTTTAAGGGGTTCCAGCCCCAGTGCACTTGGAGTGACATAATCTGGTTTGCCGCTGAACTAGTTTACTTGGGTACTGAATTCACTATGTGCATTATGCTTTCCCCCACTGAGATACAAAAGTACCGTATTTTTCGCACCATAGGGCGCACCGGACCATAGGGCGCACCCAGTTTTTAGGGGGGGAAATCAAGAAAAAAAATATTTTTTCCCCCAGCCCCAAAGAGCAGCGTACAGGCTGCGAACAACCTCTCCCTGCCGGGATCCCGCTTGCTGTTTTGGCTTCCCCTTTAGCCCCGTGCAGCCTCTCCTTGCCGGGAGACGCTGCGCAGAGCTTCTCCTGGCTTTCCTGGGAGGTGGGGGGATTCCCTCACCTCTCGCAAAAGCCCGCAGAAGCTGCGCAACCCCTTTAAAGAGATCACGGCTTCTCCTGGCTTTCCTGGGAGGTGGGGGGATTCCCTCACCTCTCGCAAAAGCCCGCAGAAGCCGCACAACCCCTTTAAAGAGATCGCGGCTTCTCCTGGCTTTTCTGGGAGGTGGGAGAAGGGACTGATGCGGCCAGTCAGTCCCTTCTCCCTCCTGTGGAAAAGCCCGCAAGAGCGCACGGAGCTTCTGTGCGGCTCTTGGGGGCTTTTCCCGCCTGCCTCCCCCCTGCATTCGCTCCATAGGACGCACAGACATTTTCCCTTGCTTTTTAGGAGGGAAAAAGTGTGTCCTATGGTGCGAAAAATACGGTAAGCTTTTGGCAGCTTTTGAACAGGAACAGCCAGTGCTTTTTTTCTAAAAAAAAGGTTTAGGGGTACTCTCATTTTGACTCAAGAAAATCACCATTTTATAGTTCAAATCGGAAAAAATAAATACAGTAAATGGACAAAAGTACAAAGATTCATAAAATGTTTAGGGGTATGTGTACTCCTGCGTACCCCCAGAGAAAAAGAACTGGGAACAGCAAATAAGGGCTTTGTTTCACTCTAGCTCTTTTTAAGAAAAAGTTTGATTGACAGTGGCATTAAAGAAGAGTGTGGGTGGAATGTTCCATCATTATTGACAAGAGATTGTTCTCTGATGGGGCCAACTTCTTCCATTAACAGAGAATCCAGAGGGATTTCTCTCCCACCTGGGGCTATTCCGTTCCATTATGCTGAGAGCAGAGCAAATTCGCTCTTTGCAGAGAGGATTCTGTGAACTGCATGGAATGTGTTTCTGCTGGCAGCACTGAAGGTTTTTTGCCTCGCTGTCTGCTATGGCGGAATTTTATGTACGTAATTAATGATGTAGTTAATTACTTTATCATGACATTAACCCACACCACTGATTTCAACACAGAGGCCATTCATTTCAGTGCAAAGGAAACCAGTGCAAATGGGGTAAAAATGTCATCATTTGCAGACTGAAAACAGCTACAGTGAATGCCAATCATATTCACTCAATTGATTTTCTTTCCGGACATGGGATGAATAAGCAGACACTGGCCGTTTCTGTTCTTGTGCCCACTGGAAATTTCCAACATCCCTGTAGGAGGGAGAGTGCAAAGTCCCACCCAGTAAGAAGCTACACTCCTTCAAAGGAATTATTTTCCCTTCATGAGAAATGAAACAAAACAGCAGCCATGCTTCTTCAGGAAAACAGCGTGGTGGAAAGTAGTATTTTGAAAGCACATGACTTCTCTTTTCCAGCCCCATCTCCTGAATAATCCTAGGAATAATCCTAGGCTTCTGCTTCGGAATAATGGCAGCTGATGCGTCCAAAAAGTGGGAGGTGCTCCAAGTGCCAGGCCCCTCCCACTGCACCTGCCCTCTCTCCAGCTGTGCTGCTAGGAATGCCACTGATTGGCCAGAATAGTTAAACGGAGCCTCCTTGTTCAGCAGCTGTGCCCCTCTCGAATACCAGAGCAGGTATGATGAGAGCTGGATTCCAGCAACATCTGTAAGAGCACAGGCTCCTCTTTCCTTGACTACGGCAGGAGCAGCCCCTGTGTTACCTTCTTGACGTTTTGGATCACAACTCCCATCTTTTGGAAGGCGCTCTCTATGGCTACCCCTAGACTAGGGAGTGAGTCCTATTGCTCCTAATGGGACTATTTTCTGGGTTGACTTCAACCGAGACATTATGCGAGCAGAACAACTTAGTGCTCACACAACAGAAATCTTCCAGGGCCCTGGCTCCACATTCCCCTATTTTGGGGATTTGCGCTTCCTTCCGCTAGTGGGAGGTGACTGCCCACCCGGGTGCAGTGGTAGAATCCAGTGCAGAGGAACCCTCACCACCAGCAATGCTCTTTGTGCCTGAGGTTTTCTTGAATTGTGGTCTGATTTGACACTATTTTGTGCGTTTATTATCAATATTATTATCAGTATTGTTCCTTTGGGCTTCTCCCCTCTCCCAGATTCTCTTTGAAGCCAAGAGCCAGGCTCACCGGCTGAAGTTTGGCGTGGACATGGCAGTACCTTCCTAAAGCAACTCCCTTTGTAAGGAGCAGCTAATACAGAATGCAGCACAATCTACCATCGTTTGACCTCACTGAACTGAACCTGATGCTTCAAGGGCTCTTGATGTGCCAAATAATAGTCAGCAATCATCAATGCAATACCACCAGCAGCCACGAATCAAACACCAGCGACCTCATTGCTTCCACAAGGACAAAGAATGTTCCTTTCGGGTGTATTCCACAATTGGGTCCATTTCAAATCAACCTTGGGGATTTCTTCACTTCCGGGCAGAGGTGACTTGCTTTCCCTGTTGCTGAAGAAGTGCATGTTTTTCTTGGAAAGGCAGGCATTTATCTCTGCTCACATTTCCAGAGTCTGATTGCACAACACACCCATTCCATCCTGTCTCAAACTGCCACATATTTTTTCCAAATCACCCTCTCTCCTCCATACTAAAGTTGCTTTATGCTAGGTTGGAGGGAAACCATGCTGAACTGAGAAAGGAGGGATGATAATAATAATGATGATGATAATTTATTATTTATATCCCGCCCATCTGGCTAGGTTTCCTCAGCCACTCTAGAGGGATGTATTCCTCTTATCTCCTCTCCCCTCTGCCCGCCCCCATTAATCAAGAACATTTCTGCAACTAGTTGAGACAAAAGCATGTTTTGGGCAAGCGGAATCTTGTGGCTAGGAGAGGTTCATCTCCAGAAGGCTTGAAATATAAACGGTTGGAGGTCCAAGTTCCTCTAAACTGGGTGACATCCCGCAATTATATACATATATATATTTGATGATAGTCTTCGGTTTGCTTGTTCCAAGGTTCTACGGTATTTGGTGCTGCATGTAGCAGAGAACATGCAAGATGCTTGAGAGGATGGCCTAAGGGGTCTTTCTAGATTATAGAGACAGGAGCATGGGATCTGAAAGGCTCTTGTCTGATGCCATGAAGGCTATCTTATCATTCTTCTAAGGCCAGATTCTCACATTCTTCCCATTCCTGCCCCATCACTGTATGTGGACTCAAAATTGTGTGTGTGTGTTTCTCTCTCTCTCTCTCTCTCTCTCTCTCTCTCTCTGTGTGTGTGTGTGTGTGGCAGCTCATCTGTGAAGGTGGGTGTAAAATGGGGCCATTTAAAACTCTGCTTTCAGCATGCCAGAGCTACATTATTCGCACACTGTTTCCTGCAGTATTTGGACATCCTGCAGTTCTGCTGCAAAAGGAGAATGTGAGAATTGGGCCTTGGTTACTGTGCTTGTGGGAAATGTTTGCTGGGCTGTCGTCTTAAGCAAGGAGCACGGCCAGTCCTTCCAAAGGGCAACCGAGAGCTGTACCCTGGGCAATGAGCGGCAGGGGTGGGCAAATGGAAAAGGCTTTGGCAACCCTGTCTCGCTCAAAGTGGTTCAGAGGAGCACCTTCCTTACTGGATTCCGGGCAACCACAGATTGCCCCTCACCTTGAACTAATAAAAAACCCGAATGGGGTCAGGGTCAAGGCGACACATAACTCTGTCCATAAAAAAAGAGGTTTGAGAAAAGATGGGTTGAAAAGGGCTTATGGGGAGGGTGGTGGGGGTGTGTCAGTTTTATCAGGGCCGGCCCTGGTAAGCTGGGGGGCAGGGGGGGTGCCTATAGGGCAGAGATGGGGAACCTGTCATCCTCTGGATATTATTGGGCTTCAGCTCCCATCATCCCTGACCACATTGGCCATGCTGGCTGGGATTGGGGAGTTCAACACAGTTCCCCCCTCTTCCTTGCTAAAGGGGTCGAACTCATACCATGATATAAAGGAGGGGGTGGGGGTTCACTGAACCTTTAGAAGTGGGGAGTTAGTTACATTATAGCCTAAGAAAATCCTTTGCATATGATTACTTCCTTTGCCATTGTTTCTCTGCTCGATTTTATAATCTTTCTAATTATTCAAATAAAGTGTTTCTGTGAATGGGGTGGCTGTGTTTTAGATCTGGGGAGTGGGGACAGATTGCTTGGTCCAATGCTAAGCCATTTAAATTGTGATCCCATGACTGTGCCCTCCTCATGGGCTGCCACTGGGGCCATGCCTATGCTCTGCCCACTGGCTGCTAGTGCCCTCTCTGCTTCCTCGTGACGTACACCCTCGTGACACGTGACCCTTGGGGAGGTTTTGCACACCTGATGACCGGCTAGAGCCTCTGTGTGTAGTAGAAACTCATTCTCTTCCATTTCTGACACATCTCCCCTTGGCCATCTGTCAAAACTATGTGCAGGATGCAGCTGGGGCTGAGGCTGGGGGGTGTTTTGCCAGATGTGTGGGTTTGTCATTCTGCTTCTAAATTTGTATTTATCCCAGTCTGTTCCAGAGATTCAGGCAAGTTTCCTCCACCTCCTTTTTTTTTTTATAATTGATATTTATTAAGTTTTCAAAGAATACAACAAAAATTTCCAAAAAAATTTGAGAATACAAAAAACAAAAATAGTACATAGACAAAAAAGAAAAGAAAACCCAGCCGCAAAGAAAGAAAAAAAAAAACAGAAAAACAAAAATATAAAGTCCTTTACAATCTCTATTGACTTCCTTTCTAGACTTCCTCCTCCTCCCCTCTCGTTTCTTAATTTTTAATTTTTACAGCAAATCCTTTCTGTTTTTTCATAACAATCTGTCATTATGTTTCCTTATTCTATTTTCCCTCTTGTCATATAAAAACTTTAAGACTCATAACTTATATTCAATATTTACCAAATTCTTACATCATTACCTTTTTACGAATCATTTACCAATCCTTACTTAAGCCATGTAATTTCATTCAACATCCTTCAAACATTTGTAAGCATTCCCAATATTAAAAAATAAAAAGGAAAAAATAATAAGTCAAATTCAGTCCAGTCAGCTTCCAACCTCCCCTCCCCTGGACCCGGGATTGTCAGTCCTTTTAACCTCGATAATCCGGCTCCTTAACCTGGTTGTCTCGTATCCGAGGCCCTCAAGTCTCTTTCTTGCCCCTTTCGCCACTCTTGTTGATGATTCCCTTCCAGTCGTGGATGCTCCAGCAAGAAAATGCTTTTGACCCTTTGCAGCAAGTCCATCCCAAACCCATTGCCCAAGCCAGACAGCAAATAATACCACTTCAAATTTCCACAAAGCTTGGAGACTTCGGCTACTCCAATCCTCTGATAGCCCATCACTAGACTCGGAAGGTCCAAATAACCATATGAAGGGGGGTCGATCCATCCCCCCCATTTCCAAATCTGACCACATTTCATCTTTCCGAATCTGGTTTGTCCTAAGTTCATTTATCAAGTTCAAAGGCTGATCTTGCCCGTCCAAAGGTCCCTCCATCTCTGAAGCCTCCGTCACTACAGCAGGTTCATATGCTTGTATAGCCTTTAACTGAATTTCATTTGTTTGCTGCTGTGCTCTGGTAACTTCCATCATCAAGGTCGTCTCCTGACGCATCTGGTCCAGCTGGGCACTTAGTTTTGAAAAACCTTCCAGGAACAATTGTTCAAGCCTTTGTACTAGCATTGTCCTTCAAGGTCGAAGAAAATTCTTTCCCACGACAATAGTCCAATAGTCCTTCTCTTTTAATCTCTCTGCGTTGCAATTTCACTAAATTCCACTAGATGGAAATTTTTTTATTTATTTTTTTAAAAGGAATAAAGGCAACAGCAACAATCTTTCTTTTTCCAGAAACACTTTATCCAAAATTCCCCCTTCCAAATTCAAGAGGCAACAGTAGAATCAAAATGTTACCCTTCGTTTAACTAACTGTCGAGCAGGATAAACTTCAGAACGTCAATTCTGACAGCCCGCTCCTGGTTCAGGGCGGTGGAAAATTGCTTTATTTTAAACTCACTTCCGCAGGATTGAAAAGTCCAAATACAACCCCCTTCTTCTCCTGCAGTCAAAGGGGGTTCAGAAATCTTAGATGTTGAATTCTAGTTCTCTTAGAATTTAATTTTCAAGCTTTAGTATATTTTGTCTTTGCTTTCTTCACGTAACAAAAGAACGGAAGGCGACTTCCTGTTTAGACCTTCCCGTTCCGAGTCCCAATTAAGTTCAATTTCAAGTCCAATATTATTTGTTTATTCACCAGTCTTAAAAGTGGTTCATCTCTTCCAAGACCAGGTACTCACGGATAGATATTTTAGATGCCAAATTGTCCAGGAAAAAGGCAGCGCTCTCCGATAACGGCAGTGCGGCTTTGCTGCACGGAGGAAGCAGTCGACTCACAGCACCACGCACCTCCCACTCCGGAGCCCGTTACCGGGCTCCTGTACAAGGGGAGAGAGCGCTCACGGTGCCCGCCGAGTCCCACGTCCACAGGCTTCTTCCGCCTGTGGTTTTTGAGGGTCCCCGCTGCGCCGTAGCGGCAGGACCCAAGCCTCCGTGCAGCGGGTTCCCTTCAGTCCGAAGGGAATTCCGCCATTTTCCGGAGGCGCCACCCTGGAAGTCAAGTTTCCTCCACCTCCTTATCCCTGTCCAGCAAATGCCAGTTCACTGGATGCAGCCTTTGAGTAAGCCACGGCAGTTTACAAAAGATACTTGGTTTCACAAATAAAAAGGTAAAGGGACCCCTGACCATTAGGTCCAGTCGTGGCCGACTCTGGGGTTGCAGCGCTCATCTCACTTTATTGGCCGAGGGAGCCGGTGTACAGCTTCCGGATCATGTGGCCAGCATGACTAAGCCGCTTTGGCGAACCAGAGCAGCGCACGGAAGCGCCATTTACCTTCCCGCTGGAGCGGTACCTATTTATCTACTTGCACTTTGACGTGCTTTTGAACTGCTAGGTTGGCAGGAGCAGGGACCGAGCAACCAGAGCTCACCCCGTCGCAGGGATTCAAACCGCCAACCTTCTGATCGGCAAGTCCTAGGCTCTATGGTTTAACCCGCAGCACCACCTGCATCCCATAGTTTCGCACATAGTTTGTCACAAAATCCACTTGCAGTTTTTCCAGCCTGGTCCCTTAAGGATCTTCTTTTCACCTACCTTCCGGTTATCCATAATGTTGTGTTGATCCACCAGAGTTGGTCCACACCTATATATACCTTTCTGCCTTGGGTGATCTGATGCCACACTTGGGGAAACCCTTGCTCCAATGATGGAAAGATTTTTGACAGTACCCACTTTTCAGATATAGTTTGATGGCCTTAACTCCTTACTTGCACATTTGTGCCGCACATAGGAATTCAGCAGATCATGGAGCTTGTTCTGAGCACAAGAGGGGGGCAGGCTGCATATTCTCCCTCTGATAGCCTTGGCAAAAACAATAGGATTTTTCACCTCTTTAATAGCAAACTCTTGTGATCAAAACTTTTGTGGCTCTTAGGTCTGCAGCCTAAGTCATTTGGGCTCAGCAAGTCAATGTGTGTGTGTGTTTTAAAAAACATTCCAGACATATTTGTGTTTGCATGACGCCACAAGTTGGTATGTTTGCTGAAAGGTCAGAGCAAGTGGTGTCGTAAATCCCGGAGGCTATGACCCAAACCTCAGGAAGAACTTTCTGACAGGAAGAGCTGTTCAACAGTGGAAGAGATTCTCTTGAAAAGTGGTGGACTCACCTACCTTGGAGGTTTTTAACCAGAGATTGGATGGCCATCTGTCTTGGATGCTTTAGCTGAGATTCCTGCATTGCAGGGGGTTGGACTAGATGACCCTCGGCGTCCCTTCCATCTCTACAATTCTATGATTCTAAGTAGTTCAGCGTTCTTAACATCACAGCATCCCCCATATTGCAGGTGAGATGGCGGGTAGAGAGAGACTTCCGTTGCTCCAGCACCACCTACTTGAATGCACGGCAGCGACAAGGTCTTCACAGAGAACTCAGAGCTCTGGCATTTAGGTCTAGCTTTCGCTGTGATGCCCACCTTGTGTCTGAACTGCATCACCACAACTGGCCTCTGACATGGCTAAATGCTTGTCCGTAACGGCTTAAATGGCGGGTGGCGCTGTGGTCTAAACCACAGAGCCTAGGGCTTGCCGATCGGAAGGTCAGTGGTTCGAATCCCTGTGATGGGGTGAGCTCCTGTTGTTTGGTCCCTGCTCCTGCCAACCTAGCAGTTCGAAAGCATGTCAAAGTGCAAGTAGATAAATAGGTACTGCTCTGGCGGGAAGGTAAACGGCGTTTCCGTGCGCTGCTCTGGTTCACTGGAAGTGGCTTAGTCATGCTGGCCACATGACCCGGAAGCTGTCTGCAGACAAACGCCGGCTCCCTCATCCAGTAAAGCGAGATGAGCACCACAACCCCAGTCGCCCGTGACTGGACTTAATGGTCAGGGGTCCCTTTACCCTTTACCTTTAATGGCTTAAATTCTTTGTGTGGAGCACTAGAGCCCTAGCAGTCTGAAGCCCAGGCACAGGTGTGTAACTTCTGTAAACTAGAACATTGTACAGTTGTTCTTTATAACATATCGTTGCAAAGGTTGCGTACAACTCTCAATCTCTGCCAGGCGGTAGAAGATTCCCAGGAGTCCCAGGCGCTTACCCTGGGGTGCATTTCCACTGGGAATCAAGGTGCGGCAGAGACTGCTGTGCCACTAAGAAATACTATTTATTCTACACACATTTACACCAGAAGCTTTCAACGGAGGGTTTAAAGCATTTGCATCTCAAGAGGGTCTTGTTCCCCCAGCACTGCAGCCATCTCCCTGCCTCTGTTGCAATCTGCCAAGATGGTTCTGCCCTTTGGCCCCGCATTGAGGTCTGCCTACTTCCTTGTTCCCAGAAACCCCCTGGGAAAGAGCAACTCCTCCCCTTCTGTTTGCTATTCCAAGTCTAATTTTAAATGGGCACATTTTTCCTGAGTGACATCACTCCTCCCTCCCCACCTGCCAACCTTGGCACCCCTGTTTTGCACAGACCCAAGGATCCTTCTTTGATGGCCATTGTTTCATAGTTTGCATGTTTGGCAAAAGAAGTGCTTGCAGCCTGTATTTTCCCTCCAATATCCCAAAGCCTAGACAGCATCTTAAAAAGCAGAGACATCACCTTGCCAACAAAGGTCGGCATAGTTCAAGCTATGGTTTTCCCAGTAGTGATGTATGGAAGTGAGAGCTGGACCATAAAGAAGGCTGATTGCCGAAGAATTGATGCTTTTGAATTATGGTGCTGGAGGAGACGCTTGAGAGTCCCATGGACTGCAAGAAGATCAAACATATCCATTCTTAAGGAAATCAGCCCTGAGTGCTCACTGGAAGGACAGATCGTGAAGCTGAGGCTCCAAGACTTTGGCCACCTCATGAGAAGAGAAGACTCCCTGGAAAAACCCCTGATGCTGGGAATGATTGAGGGCACAAGGAGAAGGGGATGACAGAGGACGAGATGGTGGGTCAGTGTTCTCGAAGCTATGAACATGAGTTTGACTAAACTGCGGGAGGCAGTGGAAGCCAGGAGTGCTCTGGTCCAGGGGGTCACGAAGAGTCGGACACGACTAAACAACAGCAACAACAAATCCCAAAGGTTATCTAAATACTACTGTTTATTTTTATTTTTTTACCATTCACTAACAGACGCGGGTGGCGCTGTGGGTAAAACCTCAGCGCCTAGGACTTGCCAATCACATGGTCGGCGGTTTGAATCCCCGCGGCAGGGTGCGCTCCCGTCGTTCGGTCCCAGCGCCTGCCAACCTAGCAGTTCAAAAGCACCTCCGGGTGCAAGTAGATAAATAGGGACCGCTTACCAGTGGGAAGGTAAACGGCGTTCCGTGTGCTGCGCTGGCTCGCCAGATGCAGCTTGTCACGCTGGCCATGTGACCCGGAAGTGTCTGTGGACAGCGCTGGCTCCCGGCCTATAGAGTGAGATGAGCACACAACCCTAGAGTCTGGCAAGACTGGCCCGAACGGGCAGGGGTACCTTTACCTTTACCTAACAGACTCTAGCAAGATCTATGACAATACAGAGGTATCTCGGGTTACATACGCTTCAGGTTACATACGCTTCAGATTACAGACTCTGCTAACCCATAAATAGTACCTCAGGTTAAGAACTTTGCTTCAGGATGAGAACAGAAATCGTGCTCTGGCGGCGCGGCAGCAGCAGGAGACCCCATTAGCTAAAGTGGTGCTTCAGGTTAAGAACAGTTTTGGGTTAAGAACGGACCTCCGGAACGAATTACGTACTTAACCAGAGGTACCACTGTATGGATATACGGTATATGTTGTATATAAGTCGATAATAATATTTAAAAATCTACTGTGCTGCCTGCCCCCTGCTGGAAACGCTAATCCCTTGTCTGCAGAGGACCATGAGATGTGTCTGTCTGCATTCCCGCATTTTGTAACCGATGTGCATTTTGGGGGAAAGGGACAGCTATTCTGGGCCCTCTTCCTTCCCAGCCCCAAAGCATCGCTTCTTGTTTTTCCAAGCCAGGAAATGAAAGCGTGCCTCCATCCTCGCCGTGTGGGAGTTCGCCCTGGGCAGGTGGAGGGAGCGCGGAGCATCTTCCCGGCCGCTGCTCGCTGAGCGACCCAGCAAGGGAGGCGAGGACGAGGCGGCCAAGTCAACCTGGGCGCCGGGCCAAGTGGCAGCTGCTTTTGCCTCCGTCGCTGGAGGAAATAAATCCGGGTTTGTGGAATGAGGATGGGAAGAGCCGGAGAGCAGCATCTCCCTCCCTCGGCGCCCCGCAAAGGAAGGGAGCCAATCTCGGGGAAGGAAGGAAGGTAGGAGCCCCAGCCGAGGAATGCAGAGAGACTGCGGAGGAAGCGAGCCGAGCAGCCCTCCCTCGCCCCAGAGGGAGCCTGGAACCAGCGACAGGGAAAGCTGCAGCTGCAGCAGCCGAGGAATGCAGAAATTTGCCCAGAGGAGGAGAGGAGCCAAGAGCTGAAAACGAAAGCAGGGCATCCGCAGCCGGAGGAAGTGGGCGCACGCTGGATTGTGGCGCAAAAGGGACACGGCGACCCCCCCTTCCCCACTGTATCCTTCTCTGGAAAGCTGCTCCCTCGTGGAGGTTGCCCCGGGTGCAAGAGGGCGGGCAGACCCCTTGAAAGAGGGCTGAGCCATGCTGGCAGCCCGAGAAGCAGCTGCGCTCTACCAGACGGATTTTGTGCGCAATGCCAGGGCAGTGGGCGCTCTCTGGGCTGGCTGCACCCTCTGCTTCGGCGTCCTGGAGGTCGTGGTCCTGATCCAGCCGGCGTGGGTGCAGACAGCGCCGCTCACCTACCAGCTGCCCCCCTCCGGGGTCCTTTTCGACCCCAGCGTCAGCGCTGTGGGCTCCTTCGGCCTCTACCAAGTCTGCAAGGAGCGGGATGGCACCCTCCAGTGCGAGGGGTCACTGGTCACCCTCACCCCGATCCCATCCTTCAAGGCAGCAGCGGTCTTTGTCCTGATGGCCCTGGTCCTGGTGATGGGCAGTGTGGCTTCCTTGGGCCTCTTCTGGGTCTGCAGCCCAGGGACTGTCTACAAGGTGTGTGCCTGGCAGCAGCTTTCAGCAGGTGAGAGAGAAGGTCCCTCTCAGTGGGAGCAAATGGCAGGTTTCCTGGCATACGGCTGAGTGCGAAGAGGGCAGGCAGGCCTGGGCTACCTTCTTTTAGAAAGGAATGGGTGGGAGGGCAATAAATTCATAGAATCAAAGAATCTTTGATTTGGAAGGGACCCTGGTGTCATTTGGTCCAACCCCCTGAAATGCCGGAATCCATGACAGATGGCCATGCATCCTCTGCTTAAAAACCTCCAAGGAAGGATATTCCACTGCCTCTTGTGGGAGTCTCTTCTACTGCCAAACAGACAGACAGACACACACACACACACACACACACCTGTTCACCCGGGGTCATATCCTGCAGAAACCAGCCATGTGATTGCTTGGTAACATATTTAGAAGGCAAACAACAGTGTGAGTCACGTGCTGGTGTGACCAACAGACCCAATCCAAGATGAGGCTATGCACCCACAGGTAGGCTTGATTCTCAATAAGCAGGAGTCTGGTTTTACTCCCCACCTAAGTGGGGTCCCCCAATACTCACCTGCGGTGAGAATAAATGTTGCCTGCTACCCTTGACTGTGGGTTGCCTAGCCTTTACCAACAAGGTCTTTGAACTGTGGGCTCCTTCCTTTTATCTGCCCAGAATCTGCTCCTATGTTCAGTCTTATTGGGGGATCCCGGGTTCTGGTATTTTCTGCATCTTATAAATCTAGAACTCAGAGTCATCGGCTTAAGCAGAATGGGGACAGATAAGAGAAAGTCCTTCTTTACACAACACACAGTTAAACTGTGGGATTCAATCCCCCAAGGCTTTGTGATGGCCACTGACTTGAAGTGGGCTGGACAAATTCATGGAGGAGAAGACTCTCAGGGGCTTCTAGACATGGTGAGCATGTAGTATTACTTCCACTGTCAGAGACACAACAGCTCTAAATATCAGATGAAGAGGGGCTCACAAGGCAGACAGAGCTATTCTCATGTTTGGTCAGGCCAATATGGAAGTGGAAGTGAGACAGATAAAAAATCTTAAATACCGGTAGGTGTCCTACCATGACCACCAAAATGTATCTGTTTTAGAACGGGCGACCCTCTAGATGCCATTGGCTTCTCAACTCTTAGGCAGCAAGGCCAATGGACAGGGCGGACGGCTACCAGTCATGATGGCCATATGCTTCCTCCATTATTAGAGGTACCATCAATACCTTTCCGAATACCAGTCGTTGGTATTTTGAATACCTGCCCATTGAGGGACAACAGTGGAGCCACAGCTGGAGAGAGCTATTGCCTTCATGCGCTGCTTTGGGCTTCCAAAAGGCACCCGGTCAGCCACCTTGGCAAGCCTTTGTTCTGACTCAGCAGAGATTTTCCTATGAACTATGCAAGTTGAGCAAATTTGCATAATTCTCTTCTTTTGCATAATTTAGTCTGCAATTGTCTCTATTTCTGAACAATTTCTTCTTCTGGTTTTGCTAGCCACGGGGGAGGGGCAAGGAGTTATGCAGGACTCCAGATCCAATTTAACCATCCATCTTTTGAGATTTCTGCAGATGCTGCCTGCACTCCTTCTAGCATATCTTTTGCTGCCCTAAGGGCCAGAAACCTGCTGTAAAGAGTAAAAGCTACTTTTCTTGGAAAACTGAATTCTGTACCCATTACCGTATTCTGTGCTTTTTCCGTGTTCCTGCTCAGCTGCAGTATACACAGAGCCCTGACCGAGGGATAGAGTTCCCTTGGAGTACTCTTGTGCTGCTCCTCTCCATTTCAATGAGGCTTCTGCAAGACAACTTCCTGGTGGATCGTGCCCCATATAAATTAGCAGGAGGGTGACATCATTCAGATTTCCCCCTCAAGTACCAAAATGTTTGGGGCAAAGGATGGGGTCCTCTCCTGCACCCCCCAGGATTGGAGTAGAGGGAGAGAACAGTGCTGGCTCCAGAATGCTAAGGGCCCTCAGACATAGTGCCCCTCTTTGAGCTCCCGCGGGTGGCGCTGTGGATTTCATGCTCTTTATTCAGCTCATAGTGGTGAGGAGGAATGGAAGTTCCCCCAGAATGTCTGCTTTATATACATTATTTACACAGTGGGCCCCACGTGATTGGCTAATTCCGGGATTCTCCTGTAGGCCAATCAGGTTGTGGATTCCCTTCCACCTGGAGCTGGATTGGGTGGCTCCTGTGGACCAATCAGACTGCTGCATTCTGGATCCTATTCTTCTAGGACCAATCAGACTGCTGCATTCTGAATCCTATTGTTCGAGGACCAATCAAACTGCTGCATTTTGGATCCTATTGTTCTAGGACCCATCAAACTGCTGCATTTTGGATCCTATTGTTCTAGGACCAATCAGACTGCTGCATTCTGAATCCTATTGTTCTAGGACCAATCAAACTGCTGCCATTTGGATCCTATTCAACTCAGTACATAACAATCACTGCCGTTTTTTGTACTGGGAGTAGATCACAGTCTCTTGGGAGTTGGACATGCCTGTTCTAGAACATGCTGAGTAAAGTGAGAATTATAGTACTATGGGGGCAATGGACCTCTGCTGGTCTTCAGGGTCCTGGCAAAAGCCCAATCTTTCCCCCCTCTGGAGCTAGCTTGGGGAAAGTAGGTCCCAAGGCTATGGGTTAAGCATCAAGATTGGGGGTGGGAATCAGTAGATTATCACCCTTTGGAGGTGTATGTGTAATAATAATAATAATATTTTATTTATACCCTGCCCCCCCGGGCCAGAGCCAGGCTCAGGGCAGCTAACACCAGTAAAATTACAGTAAAAACATAAGGGGGGGAAACCAATTTAAAATACAGGTTAAAATGCAATTTAAAACGCAGCCTCATTTTAAAAGTAGCCCATACATCAAAACCATAAGGGGAGGGAAACATAAGGGTCAGACAGAGTCCAAACCAAAGGCCAGGCGGAACAGCTCTGTCCTGCAGGCCCTGCGGAAAGATGTCAAGTCCTGCAGGGCCCTAGTCTCTAGAGACAGAACGTTCCACCAAGTCGAGGCCAGTACTGAAAAGACCCTGGCCCTAGCTGAGACCAATCTAACCACCTTGCGACTTGAGACCTCCAAAATGTTGTCATTTGTGGACCTTAAGGTCCTCCGCGGGGCATACCAGGAGAGGCGGAACCGTAGGTACGTGGGTCCTATGTGTAAGGACATCAACTTTATTAACTCTGTCTCTCTCTGTCTCACAGCAACTTGTCAGGCTCTTGGCTGCCTGGTTTTCCCAGACGGCTGGGGAGCCCCTGAAGTCAGGGCTCTTTGTGGGCCTCGGGCCAGGAGCTACACCCTGGGTGCCTGCACAATACACTGGGCCTTTACCCTTGCCTTGCTGGGCATAGCCGATGCCCTGGTACTGGCCACCCTGGCTTTTGTCTTGGGGAACCGGCAGGATGCTCTGCTACCAGCAGGCTATGCACCACCCTCAGGAGGAAGAGGTAAGCAGCAGAATGGCCCCGTCCCTGTTATTCTGGGCAAGGATGGGAGCCAGCAGATGCTCAGATGCGAGGCTGGCAGGAATGTCAGCTGCTGCCTAGCAACGGCCAATGAGACACAAGGATGCATCTGAAATGGGGGAAAGGTGGAGGGGGCTGGAGGCTGCAGCAAAGAGGCCCAGTCTTCCAGGAACCTCTGAAGCCCCTCCCTTTCCTCCAAACCAGAGAAATAAAACTGGTGGCGATGCTTCTGCTAATGCAAATGTGTTGATAAGTCTCTCCCTTTCTGCCACAAACTGGGATTAAGGACTCTGGGTTTTCTGCTGCCTTACTTGCTGCCACCAAAGTGGGGTGGGGGGGTGGGAAGGCGGTAGAGGAGGCCCCATCTTCTCCTCATACCCTGTTCCAGTGTTTTTCAAAGCACTATCTAGGTCTCTGTGTAAAGAACTCAAAGGCTGCGCTCCGTTGCCTCACTACTGCCACCACCACCAAAAATGGGATTCTGTGGTGGTGGTGATAATAATAATAATAATAATAAATTTATTATTTATACCCCGCCCAGCTGGCAGGGTTTCCCCAGCCACTCTGTGAGTTATAGGGGAAAAGTATAAAGCAGGGGTCCCCAAAGTAAGGCCCGTGGGACTCATTTATCTGGCCCGCGGCGACCCCCGCCACCCACTCTTACCGCCACTTGCTGCGCGGCTGCCCACTTCCGGGTCGGAGGACTGGAAATAGCTTGTGTGCATGCGCAAGCGTTATTTCCAGTGCACATCCGGGCCGGAGGAGGCCCGTGCACATGCGCGCAAGCTATTTCCGTTCTCCGACCCGGAAGTGTGCCAGAAATAGTGTGTGCGCACGCATATGGGCACGCGCTCCCCCGCCCTCCGGCCCACCGCACAATTGGCGCTGGAGACACCGGCCTGAGGCGCAGTAAGTTTGCTGACCCCTGATATAGAGTATACTGAACTCACTCTCAGTGGCATAGCATGGGTGGGGCCACGGGGGGGGGGGGGAGGGTTGCCCTGGGCTCAAAATTCTTAGGGGCACAATTTTTTAAAAAAAGGAATAATAAATAGACAATAGTGTGTGCTTCCCACACAGAAAATCTCATGTGTTTGCATGGGCAGACTGAGGAGCGGATTTGGGGTATGGCCGGTTGCAAGGCTTTAGAAAGATACCAATCCCCCGTCTTGCTTTCCACCCTGCTAAACGCTCACAGGGTGCTGCAGCTGCCACTTGGGTAGGTTGTGGACCTATTGCCTCTTTTTTCCAACCTATTGGTGGGTGGTACCGAAGATACTTGCCTTGCACCGGCCACTGGCAACCCACGCTACATCACTGCTCAAGCTAGAGGCCTGTGTGGCTTGAGGCACAAAGGGCAGGAGGTCTGCTTGTAGTCAGTGCCCCCATCTTGGTTGTAACTTGATGCCTGGCCTGATCCAAGAGGGTGTGTATTTTCTCTGACCCTGCCAAGCCCCGCATGAGGTATGTCTCAGGATCTCAGGCCTGGCACTAGAGCCATGGGATATTCACCACCAAGCACAGAGAAGGCTCTGCTCAGTTTGGTTCCTGAAGCAGAAAATCTGTAAGCTACCTCTCCATGCCGGAAAAATAAATCGACTAACTGCAGCTGGATTACACACAAATAAATTTTAAACAGACAGCTTCCCCCAAAGACTCCTGGCAGGGTATAGTTTGCCCTTACAGAGCTACACTTCCCAGAATATATTTTTTGAAAAAAACCTATAGCTCCTAGGATTCTTTGGGGCAAGTCATGTGCTTTACACACGTGGTTTGTATGCAGCCTGACTCTGTGTCTGAAGTCAAGGTCAGCCTGAGAGTTACATAGACTTAGAACATGCAGAAAACCTTTATAGGGAGGAAAGGAGAGAACCATTCATGCCTTGCTGGGCAACTGCTCACATCTCCTCCCTCAATACTTGTAACCCTGACCCCCAGCATGGGAGAAACACTTAATTAAAAAATAACCAAAAAACAACAACCCTGGATGTATGAAGTTTGTCCTTAAAAAATGCCTTTAAAATAGTGGCGGTGACACTGTTTTATATTTATTTAAAAAACCTAAAAACCTAGGAAAAAACAATGACAATCCTAGTACCCTATAAAATAGAGGCAGCTGAAAATTGGTATGCTGGAATGTAGTAGTAGTAGTAGTAGTAGTAATAATAATAATAATAATAATAATAATAATTTATTTGTACCCTGCCCATCTGGCTGGGTTTCCCCAGCCACTCTGGGTGGCTTCCAACAAAGATTAAAAATACATTAAAATGTCACACATTAAAAACTTCCCTGAACAGGGCTGCCTTCAGATGTCTTCTAAATGTCTGGTAGTTGTTTTTCTCTTTGACATCTGGTGGGAGGGCGTTCCACAGGGCGGGCGCCACTACCAAGAAGGCCCTCTGCCTGGTTCCCTGTAACTTGGCTTCTCATAGCGAGGGAACCGCTAGAAGGCCCTCGGTGCTGGACCTCAGCGTCCAAGCAGACCGATGGGGGTGGAGATCATAGCTGTCAACGTTTCCCTTTTTAAAAGGGAAATTCCCTTATTCTGAATAGGATTCCTTGCAAGAAAAGGGAAAAGTTGACAGCTATGGTAGAGATGCTCCTTTAGGACACTAGCCAATGTGACGCTAGCCAAGACCTCCGTACCCAAATATGCTTGCAGGGCATGTGCCACAATATCACCTATGATGGTTCCTGCCTGAGTTCAGAGGGAAGGTTATGGGATCGTAGAACTGTAGAGCCGGAACGGACCCCAAAAGTCATTCATTTGTTGCAGGATGAAGCGACTTGCTCCAGGCAGTAGCACAAGGAGCGCAGGACAGATGAGGGCATGAACCAGTACATCAAAGAATTGTAGACTTGGAAGAGGGACCCTGAGGGTCATCTAGACCAACCCCCTGAAATGCAGGAATAAAATGTGTTGGCCTCGGTGGGGTGGGGAAAATTGGGGCTCTCCTTTGGAGAGCAAATGTCTTGCTTAGGCAGGGACACGAGAAGATCAGTGTCTTTCCAGGTCTTTTTCTTCCCATTCCCTGTATGCACACAGGTGTGACTTCAACACTGACTCCGGACTGATCTCACCTCCCCAACTGACATCCTTCAGAGTCGGTCGCTTGCCACAACAGAACCATTTTCTTGCTGTGCCTAGCTGTTGCAATAAAGATATTTTTTATTTTAAAAAATGCTACATTGTGATGCGTTATTAGTAGGGATATTGGAGAATTCTGCCGGAAACTGAAACGGAAGCAGAAATTGCTGCAGGTTGCATGTTTGTCCAAGTCAGGAACGGAAATCGTGTGAGCAAATATGTCTTTTCTATCAGTGGGTGGGATTCAACGAAGTTGCTGCGTTTGCTGAACAAGGTCTGTTGGTGCAACAGGACTTCCATCCCGCCCGCTAATTCTTCTCTGGAGGGTGGGGGGGAAACCCAAGTAGATCTTGTTAGACACACACACCCATGCACACTCTCTCTCTCTCTCTCTCTCTCTCTCTCTCTCTCTCTCTCCATTTAGCACTATGTTGAAGTCCACCCGTTTTTTTTAGTTCCTGATCATTGTGTGAACCATCAACCTTATTTTCTGCATAGTTTTTGATTTTTTTTTATTCCACTGAAATTAATTATGCAATTATGCCGTCAGTTGTGTAATTTATTTTTTCAGTTTTGGGCAATAGCGGACAGCGAAATGAACAAGGGTGGTTTCAGTGGGAGCCAAACTGCAGAAGAACAAACAGCACTGGTTGTGACAAACACAGGACAGGATGTTTCCGGACATCCTTGGTTATTAGTTATTTCTATAGCTGTTTTCAAAAGGGATGCAGGTGGCGCTGTGGGTTAAACCACAGAGCCTAGGACTTGCTGATCAGAAGGTCGGCAGTTCGAATCCCCGCGATGGGGTGAGCTCCCGTTGCTCGGTCCCTGCTCCTGCCCACCTAGCAGTTCGAAAGCATGTCAAAGTGTAAGTAGATAAATAGGTACCGCTCTGGCGGGAAGGTAAACAGCGTTTCCATGCACTGGTCTGGTTTGCCAGAAGCGGCTTAGTCATGCTGGCCACATGACCCGGAAGCTGTATGCCAGCTCCCTTGGCCAATAAAGCGAGATGAGCGTCGCAACCCCAGAGTCAGCCACAACTGGACCTAATGGTCAGGGGTCCCTTTACTTTTACCTTTATAGCTGTTTTCATAGGCTTTGAAAATCATTTATCTTCTTCATTCTCACTGGAACCCTCCAAAGTGGTAAATATTTTACCTGTTTTACAGATGAGAAACTTGAGACTGGACAAAAGTTTTGAGTTGCCTCAAGCCTGTCCTGTAAAAAGTTCCCAAGGGCGTTGAGACTTGAACCTCTGGGCTCCATAGTTCAACAGAGTGAAGGGTATTTGAAAAAGGTTTGAGAAAATGACACCAATGATGTCAGCGCTACATTAAAATACCTGGTGGGCTCTTTATTAATTCATCAACACCAAAAACTCTGGCCACAAGCAGGATCAAACAGGGCGACAAATCAGCAAGAGGGCGCATATGTCTTTGTGTAACGTGAATGTGGGTGAACACAAGGCATCTTACAAACCGGACATACACAAGCAGGGGGAAACTCTGGTGGGCCAAGGGAGGAGCAAGGGATGAGAGACAGGGTTGAGGTAATGGGACTATTAAGGCAGAAGGAAAATCAGGGGTGGGTGGGGGTTATTTGAGCCACTTTTAAATATTTTTTTAAGCCAAGATGGCCACCAGCTCTGCATTTGACATGGGAGATAGGATCACCATCAAACTGCAGCTTTCAATCAGGACGCCCAGAAGGTTAGCGGGGAAAAGAGCCCCTCCCCATACAATAACAGAACTGGGATTTGGGGAGCCCAGTGAAAGGCTCTCCCCCTTCCTCCTCAGTAATTTGGGATCACAAGGCAGAAAAGAGGCAGGAACAAACACGAGGTGTCACAGTCCACTGACATTCAGAGACTGCCAGAGAGGTGGGGGGCAGGGGCGAGGTGGCTCCCCCAATCTTTTTTATGCCAATTCCTCCTATTCAGGCAGATACCGAAGCCTCTGCATCCCCCCAGAAACCCCCCTCCTCCCGCCGGCCCCTTCCCCTTCTGTCCGCTTGACCCGTTGCAGCTGGGGCTCCCCCCCGGCCTCCCCACCTAGTCGTTTGACCCGCAGAAGATTGGGGGGCTCAGGTAGGTCCCCTCCGTCAAAGATGGCACGCCGCAGGCGCCGGGGAGGCGCTGGGAAACGCTGGGGGTTCAGGTTGCCCGCTCCTGCCAGGATCCGGCCAACCAGGTATCTGCAAAGAAGAGCAAGAGAAAAAGGTGAGTCGAACGAAGGAGCCCTCTCCGCCTTTTCCCACAATCCTTTGCGGGAGCCAAGGAAAGGCCTTGACTCATAAAGTTGCCTGCCATCTCCCCTCTCCCCAAAAAGGCTGGAGACTGAAGTTGCAATTTCTGATGGCATACATCCCATACTCGCCTTGCCCACTAAACCCCACTTTCGTTGACAGAACCCAATGATGCCGCTGAAACTCCCAGACATGGATTGGTTAGTATGGGGTCTGCTCTTCTAGATTTCCCAGAGGTACTAGGACTGGAAATGCCCCCCAAAAGATGTTGGACTGGTTTTGTATGCCACTACAGCGGCAAGACTTTTATTAGCCAAAAACTGGAAATCGCAAGAAATACCAACAATAGAAGAATGGCAGATGAAGATGTTGGATTTTTTGGAGCTGGCCAACGTGACTGGAAGAATCCGCGACAAGAAAGAAGAGGAGACACAAGAGAATTGGAAGAAATTTAAAGAATATTTAGCTAAATATTGTGATATAAATTAAATAGAAAATTCTTGGAAATGATAAATAGGCTTAGGGGTAGAATAAGAATATGTGGTAGTAAATACTAAGGATTTGAAAATTAATAAAGGAGAAGAGGTTAGTAAATGAAAGGAGTTAATATCAGTAGAAATATGAATTTGGAGAACTTCTATACAGGTGATATAATGAGATTCAGTAAGAGGGGATTCGAGGAAGTCAGTTATCAATGTAATGAGAATTAGGTATGGTATTTGAAGAAATAATTTTTCTTTGTGTTTAATTTATTGTAGTGTAATGTGTTTTTCTTTGTTGTGTGTTTCGTTAGGTCATTTTTGTGATAAATGTGGAAAATCAATAAAAAAATTTGGGGAAAAAATAGATTTCCCAGAGGTAACACCTGGATTTTTCTCTTCCTTGGATTAGTCTTCCCCTTCTCCATACCCTAGGATAATGGCTTCTTAGATAAGTTGAAAGCTTATCCGAGATGTCTTACTGACAATATTGATACTGGTGTCCAGACTTCCAGGGAAAACAGCTTGCCCCCGCAGTGACCATCTCCCATTGTGTGTGTCCCACAATACTTTGTGGCTCACTGCGGTTCTACAGCTGATAAGACAAGCTTTCCTCACCAGCCAAGTCGATGTGGGAAAAGGTTCCCTTAAGGTAGCAAACAGAGAAATGCAAGTACTTGGACTCAGCCCTGTCCTTCCAAAGGGTTCCTTGATCCAGGGGGCATGGAGAGCAGACAATGTCTACTACTCCTCCTGCCATCCTTCTCCAGATCTCTGCACGCGTGCGCGCACACACAGACACAAATATGCTCAGTTCCTCTGGAATAGCATGGAAGGCAGTGCAGGGAGCTGTAGGAAAAAGGAGAAATTCCTCCCTCTCTTTTGCACTCACAGAAGGTGCCTTTCACAAATGGAAGGACAGCACTGGATGCAACCCAGACAGTCTATAATGCTATATAGGTAAAGGTAAAGGGACCCCTGACCATTAGGTCCAGTCGTGGCCGACTGTGGGGTTGCGGCGCTCATCTCGCTTTATTGGTCGAGGGAGCCGGTGTACAGCTTCCCGGGTCATGTGGCCAGCATGACTAAGCCGCTTCTGGCAAACCAGAGCAGCGCACGGAAACACCGTTTACCTTCCCGCTGGAGCGGTACCTATTTATCTATTTGCATTTTGACGTGCTTTCGAACTGCAGGTTGGTAGGAGCTGGGACCGAGCAACGGGAGCTCACCCCATCGCGGGGATTCGAACCGCCGACCGTCCGATGGGCAAGTCCTAGGCTCTGTGGTATAACCCACAGCGCCACCCGCATCCTATATTGCTCTACATCGTGGTTTTATTGCATTTTACTAAAATTATTACATGCCAAAATCTACCTAAAGTGAAGCAGGTTCCCTCCTTACTAAGAAATTAGTGACTGCGCAGTGCACTAACTAAAATTCCAGAATTCCACCTGCATGTAAGCCGCCAGATGCAAATCTGGGGACCTACCTGGAATATCCAGGTGGGGGAGGGGCTGTTGGGCCCAGCAGCATCTTTCAGATGCTTTGAACTACAATTCTCATCAGCTCCCGCTAGCATGGCCAGCAGTCAGGAAAGAGTCAGGAAAGAGGGGATTTGTAGTCCAGGACCTCAGGAGGACCTCAGGCCGAAGACGGCGGTTCTAGGGTCCAGATTTTCTACACTGAATATTTCCTAGACTATGGTTTTCTTTAAAAAGGTAAAACTGCTGGAGACCATACCTTGTTCTTCTGCCTAGCAATCTTGCCCTTTGTTTCCATGTGCGTGAGGCAGGGGCAGGCTGTGTTAACGCACAAGTTGTTTAAAACCATGCATTTCCCAAACATTGTTTGAATCTTCCTGTATTATTGGATAATTATTTTTATACTCCAAAAAGCCAGTTCATCATACAAGAGATGGAACGTCATTGCTGGATTACACCATTTCAGGTGAGGGTTTGCATTGCTGAACGAGTTACTCTTGCAAAACAAACTCCCTGCATTTGGACAAAGAGCTTGCCAGGGAGAGGGCTGGGTGAACTCTTCTCCACGACAAGCTACTTTTCTATATGCATGGTTAAAAAAAAAAAAGTGGAGATAGTCACGCAGACATAGCCCCACACCTGAAACCTGAAACCAGGAAAACGCTTTACTGCTTGATTCTGGTGAAAATATAAACTGCCACTGAAATTTCTTATGTACCACTTCCTGTTCCATTAACTGCTTCCTCAAATGTACTATCTTGTTATTTTAATTATATATTCTATATAAAAAGAGAGGTGTGTGAAGGCAGCCTGAATTTATTCTGCAATGGAGGACGATGTGTGGGCATTCTGCACATGCTCATAGGCCATAGCTGTCAACTTTCCCCTTTTCTTGCGAGGAATCCTATTCAGAATAAGGGGATTTCCCTTTAAAAAAAGGGAAGAGTTGACAGCTATGTCATAGGCACTCCCTTCTTTATTGCTTCCTGTGTTACACAGCTGAGAATGACATTCCAAACAGGTTCTGGGGCTAAGCCCTAGCTCAGAAATGGGACCCCATTCCAGCTACCTCAGCATCTCTGGGTCCATCTCCCCAGTGGGTTCTTCCTCCCCTCCCAGCTCCTCTTGGGGTTCAAATCCTCCTTCTGGGACCCAGTGGCGATTTCGCTGTGTTTGAGGTGGGAAGGAGTTGCCTGCTAAGCCGGTCTCATCATACTCTGGGTACAACGGGGCCCCCTTTGCTTCTTCCCAAAGCCTGAGCAAGTTGGCCAGATAGGCAGACTCCTGGTCCCGGCGATGCCCGTCCTGAAGGAGGCGCTGCAGAGCAAGGGCCAAGCGTTCGTCTGGTTGGAACTGGTTCCCGGCCGGTGCCACCGCTCTCTCTAGCGCCTGGGCCAAGCGGTCATCTTGCAGTTGGTTACCAGAGGAGGCCATGGCTCTCTCTAAGGCTTGGGCGAGGTGCTCTTCCTGCAGCTGACCACCAGGGGACGACATGGCTCTCTCCAGCGCTGCCAGCCGGACGAGTTCGGGGTAATACACCTCGTTGGCCAATGCAGTCTCAACTGCCTCGTAGGGCACTCCCTGCAGCTCCCGCCGAACCCTTCGGGCTCCCCCAGGTAAGTTGTGGTTCAGCCCTCCACGGGAGCCCCCTGTGCTGGGGAGAGGCTGTAAGAAACAGGGGGAAAGATTGCAAACTGAATTTTAAGGAAAGGTCAGAAGTCAGGCTGGCAGCAATCGCAGGGAGGGGAACACGGTACCACCTCTGCCCCACAGCACGCCAGTCGCTGGGCATTTCGTGGTGTGGGCCGTCATACATCAATATGGAACAGTGTAACAAAAAAATGTAAAGTCTTGTATATACAGTCATACCTCGGGTTGAAGTAGCTTTGGGATAAGTATTTTCAGGTTGTGCGCTGCGGCGACCCGGAAGTAACGGAGCGCGTTACTTCCGGGTTTCGCCGCTCGTGCATGCGCAGATGGTCAAAGTGACGTCATGCGCATGAGCAGAAGCGGCAAATCACGATCCGCGCACGCACAGATGCGGGTTGCGTTCACTTCTGGATGCAAACGGGGCTCCGGAACGGATATAATAAATGTTCATTAATGTAGCAACCAAGCATGTACATAGATATGTGGACCACATGTCTGGAGCAGCACAGGAAGACCGTCCTGAAACCATTTTGACTCCCAAACTGACCAATGTTTTCTCTACAAGGAGGGAGGACGTGAGGGAACCTTCCCATTGTCTCAGCAATTGGGTAATCACCATCTCAAAGGAATGGCCAGACTACCAGGAAAGGCATTATCAGATAACCTGGCAGACAGGAAAAACAACAACATTCAAATTTCTGTTGTAGACCGCCTTTTCTGTGATGTAGGTATGATGTTTGTGGGTTGTGGTCTTGGGTTACACCCCTTCTGTGATGTATGTATGATGTATGGAGGGGTGGCCTTGAGCTCCAGGTCAGGGAATTTAAATATAGGGCAGGCACACCTATATTCTGGGTCCTCCTCCTTTCCTGCGTGTGAGGGGAGCACCCTGTTGCAACAGATCAATAAAGATCAGGCTTACTAGCTGCTTTGCTTCTCAATATTCTCTGGTTGGCCTCTGTTATTTTCTCCTACTGATAGGGAACCCACTTAAGGACTCCATATGGGCTCTTGGATACCCCATAAGGGAAGAAGGGCTGATTTTGTTTACAACAACAGCGAAGTATGAAAAAGCCATTTGATATGTTTAAAGTAACTTAAGAATTAAAGTGAAAACAAAAATGGTAAAGGGCACAATTCAACCAAAAACAAAGCACTTTTACATCTTGGGTAACATCCACACCATACATTTAAAGCAAATTTACAATGGTTTTGACAGTCCTGGTTCCCCCAAGCAATTCTGGAAACTAGTTTATCCCACATGGCGCTACCATTCCCAGTACCCTTAACAAGCTTGTTCCCAGGGTCCTCTGGGGGAAGCCACGTGCTTTAAATATATCGTGTGGATGTGACCTTATTGGTTTTAGCAAGGGGAAGCGCTTAGCCTTTGAAACGATACCAACAAGGTCCTGGCAGGACATGAGGTAACTGCCGCAGGAAGATCATTCTGAGTGTCCCAAAAGAACAGCAAATGGTTATTGAATTTATTGTCGTTGCATTTTTTTTACTCCCAGGGAAATGAATTTGTGGGATTTTATGCCTCAGGTGCCACAATAACAAGCTTATTTTCTCCTGCTCCAGAGGGCAGGACCCAAACCAACGGATTCAAGTTACAAGAAAGGAGATTCCAACGTAACATTAGGAAGAACTTTCTGACAGTAAGAGCTGTTCAATGGCGGCAAAGTCTCCTCCCTTGGAGGTTTTCAATGAGAGGCTGGATGGCCATCTGTCATCTGTCAGGGATGCTTTAGCTGAGATTCCCTCTTTGCTGGGGGTTGGGCTAGATGACTCTCAGGGTCCCTTCCAGCTCCACAATTCTAACTCAGTCCGTCTTGCTCACGATGCACCTTGACTTTTGGAGGTGCAGGTGTCATTTGCTGTTCTGCCTCCAGCAGCAAAACATCTTGGATCAGCCCTGGTGTTTAGGCGCAACTACAGTCATACCTCATGTTATGTTTGCTTCATGTTACGTTTTTTCACGTTGCGTCCCGCGGCGACCCGGAAGTACCGGAAAGGGTTACTTCCGGGTTTCGCCGCTCGCGCATGTGCAGCACGTGCATCTGAAGGCAGCCCTGTTTAGGGAAGCTTTTAATGTTTAACAGACCACTGTATTCACCACCCGACACCACCCCCACTCATATCCCCACCACCACCTCTTTCCCCCTATTCTTCCTAATGTCTCAACAAATGAAACCGATTTGTAAAAAAAAAAAGTTGTTACGTGGAAAACAAAAATATGAGAGACTTTGCACATACCTTTGTAAATCAAGAAAATCTTTAATAAAAATACATTAAAAAACCCCACAGACCACTGTATTTTCATACTTTGTTGGAAGCCGCCCAGGGTGGCTGGGGAGACCCAGCCAGATGGGCAGGGTATAAATAATAATAATAATAAATAATAATAATAATAATAATAGCACAAAATCATGCTTTGCGCATGTGCACAAGTGCCAAATCACGCCGCGCACCTGCACAGATACAGCACTTCAGGTTGTGAGCTTTTCATGTTGCGAACGGGCCTCCCATTCGCAACCAGAAGTGCCACTGCATGCTGAATTATCAAGCATTACTCAGTGAGCTTCATGGCTAGGGGAGGCGTGGGGGTGAATACTACAAAGCAGAGGCAGATTTAATTTTGAGTGAGTAATTGAGCCGAAAACTGCCTGCACATTTCCTGCTCTGACGTCTAGAAGAACATGAGATAGAGACTTAAAAAAAAAAATTAAATAAAAAAGCCAAGCCAGAAAACTAGACTATGCCTGAGCCCCTTCTATTAGACTCTTTCCAGATTTTTCTTCTTGGTTTCACTCTGGATTTTTGTCCGATTTGTGCAATAATTCTGATACAGCTAAAGGACAGAAAATGAGATGGTTTTCTGGTGAGGCAGTAGATATTCGCAGGACCAGTTGTAGGGACTGAAAAGCTCACGTCACAATAAACTATTTTGCCTCTTGACTGCCATAGTATGGCATTTTGCTTCTCCCTTTGTAGATGTAGGTGTTTATATTTCTGCATCTCCAGATGGTATAATTGGTTAGAATCACATCCATTTTTCTATTTTTCTTCACATTTGTAAAAAGGCTTTGATGAAGACAGAACAACAAAGGCTGAATTTGTGTGTGTGTGTGTGTGTGTGTGTACCAGAAGCCTGTTTCCAAGTTCTGACCTACTAGCCCAATACACACAAATATGATCTATACCAGCCACACTCTTTTCCCAATTGCAAATTGGTTATTGCAAATCACCACATGTCCTTCATATACAAGCCGTATCTACGTAACTAACAGCAGCCAAATTTCAGGGCATTACTAATCATTAATAATGATTAACATCATTGTTATTATTAACATATCAATTTGCACCATGCGCCCATCTCACATCTGGGGACCAGTAACCAAACTTCCGCTGACTAACGCCTACCCAAATGGAGAAATTTACTTGAGCCGTAATCAAGATTCAGGAGCTGAAAGACCCTCTGGAATGGGGGCAAGGGAGATCTGCCAGTAGAGGAGGCAGATGGGCCAGACTAAGGCCGGGCATCTCTGCAAGGATGTGCACAGAAGCCCTTGAGGATGTGTCACAGTGGAAGGTCCTCTGCAGTCTTCCTGCAGAGTTAGTCACAACCACCAGGAGGATGGATGCTGGGAAGCCTGCTTGGTTTGGGTACACTGAGAAATCACTTTGGTGGTTGTGAGGCTCTCCTGAGCTAAGGGGGGCTCCCTTCAGCCTCTCCCACCTCAAACACACATTCTACATATGTGCAAAAGCCCAGCAACATCCAATCTGCCTCTGGCTTTGTTCAAACTACCCCTGCCCCTTAATAAGGAGTCAAGACTCCTACAGTTGAGATGGGTGGCAGCGCACAGCAGACAGGCCATGGACATAAAAGCCCATCAATGAAAATTGTGCCTTAATATGTTTCCAGTTTATTGCAGATTTTAAGTATTCTTTGATATATGTTTTCATTCCTGCTTTTAACTCTTGTCTTTTATTGGCATTTTAAAAAATGTTTTGATTTTAATGCTGGTTTTATTGTTCTGTAACTCGTTTAGAGGCTCTATTGACAATCAATTAGTATATGAATTTTGTTCAATAAAATGCCCCAAAATACATGCCCTGAATTATTTTTTAAAACGAATAGTACATGGCATGTATTTCAGTACCCCCTCACTTTGCACCTCCTTTTACACACAAACACACACGCACACACTCCGTCTTGTACAGATGGAGAACGGGTGCAAAAATAACGGCGTACTTCTTTTGCGACCCATCTGCCCACTCGGATATCACACGCACAGACACACCCCGCAATTTGGCTTGCACCCGTCACACCTTTTCCACAAAAACCCCACACCCTTAGCTCATCCTTAGTCCCGCGCACCCACACTTTGTACACAGCAACGCCCCCCAGCACTCGCTCGGCCCTTTGCACACATACACACTCTTCTTCTGCTGTGCGTAATTCTTGGAAACGATGGAGCTGAATTCGTAACGCATCCTTTACCTTTCCACCCACAAAAGTCCCCAGTTGCTCACAGAGGGAACAGGCATGAGTCACAAGCACACGCAGAAACACACACACGAGCGCCTTTTTTTGGATCGGCGGGTGAAAAAGATGGTAAAATGACTCGCTGTTTTTTCCTTCCCAGCACAGAAACACACGCAGATTGCCAGATGTCGGGCACAGTTTGGAGAGCATCCTTATTCCAGATCACCATCATTTAGATGAAGAACGCTCCTCATCCACACACACACACACCCCCCGCCAACCCCACAGTGCCCCATTAATTGGGCTCCTGAGTCCCCCCCCCCCCGCGACTCCTTTCTCCCTGGGCTGCCAACGACGACTATTCAGTCGTCTACAGAAATCAGATGCGCGCCCTCCAGAGCGCGGCTGGCTGCGCAGAGGCAGAAAAGCAGGTGCGCCACAGAAAGCTGCCGGCAGAGCCCAATGGTTCTGGATCTCTCCAGCAAGGAAGCCAAGCCGCAGGGCCAGGGGCTCGTCTACGTGTCCTCTGGGTGTGGAGTCCCCAGATAACCCGGCACCCGTAACGCGCGATATCCGATCCCTCGCCCCCTCCACGGATGCTCGCTCATCCCGCAAGTGGCTCGCGTCCCCCGGTCATCCTGCCCGCCCGGCGGACTGATGTTCCGGCGCCGGTTCTGGGTTCGAATCGCCTACCTTGGCGGCTCCGAGGCCCGAGAGCAGCGCGAGCAGCAGCGCTGGGCCCATCGCTCCCTCTGGGTTGGACGGGAGGCCGAGGCTGCCCAGACGACGGCGGCGGCGACAGCAAGCGAGCGACGGAGCCGAGCCCGGACTGCGCCAGAGGAGGCGGCGGCGGCGCCAGACAAGAGCCGGAGCTCCGCCTCGCCGCCGGGCTCCGCCTCTGCCCATCGCTCCGCGCCCGGGGCTCAAGGACAGCGGGGGGCATATAAGGAGCCAACGGGGGGAGGGCGAGGTGCCTTCGCCCCCCTCCTAAAATATTTGAGCATATTTGAGCCCCACCCCAAAGTTAATGGGCATTGTCTCATTCAAATGGTTGTGTGCGCGCCACGTCTTATGATTGATTATTCGGGGCGAGGCTTACCTGCCCCCCATCCAATATTTTATCGAAGTTGACACCCTTGACGGGGTGCGGGGGGAGAAGAAGCACGGCTACGCCGGTACCTCCGCCTCCGATTTCACCGGCCAAGGACAGGGGGCACCACGAGGAAGGCGGTGACCCGGAGCGCGTGCAAAGTGCATCCCTTTCAGCGCCAAACTATCTGCACAGCCTCCGTGACTGTGTAGAAAGGTGTGGTTTTGTTTTGTTTTATTATTATTTTTAAAGAATAAACCTTTTTCCTGAAGTGAATCATACTGTTAATCTCTCTCTCTTCCCACTCTCTGTGGAGTTTAATTTCAGACAGAACTCACTTTTGGCCTGCTTGCCATGAAAAGGGGTGCAATATTATTTACTTTTATATTAGTTGTTTATTAAATTCATTAAATTAAATTAAAAATACATTTACTGAATTCATCCAAAGATCACAGGGCGCTTTGCAGTTCTCTGGCATAGATAGAGCAATGCTGACCAAATGTTTCTGAGCATGTGTAGAGTGCATTCACCCTGCCACTTACTCAGAGAGAACTTAAATGAAGGAAAAAGCTTCCTGGCGTCTCTTATTTTCACCTCCTGCTTCCAACCTTCCAACCCTTATTATATTCCCCTTTCGTGTTCTCTTTTTCCTTCCAGTGCCTCATTTAGCCCATCTCCTTTTCCTTTCCTTTTTAAAATGTTTTAGCACCCACGGCACTCGCAAAGGGTGGGATAGGGACACCCCATATTAAATTCCCAGCAACCCTGCGATGTAGATAATGCTGAGAGTTACCAACCGATCCAGGGAACATCCCGTGAGTTTTGTGGCCAGGCAGCTTCTCGTGTCCAATATGTTGTCCCCTACACAGTGGCTCTGGCGTCCCCTTTAAGATACTAGCCAACTCTAAAAGTCTATTTCTGCATTCATGGTGATTTGTGCTTCTTGTGGTTAGTCACAATTCCACTTTCAATGCTATTTGTACTTATCTGCAAAAGCTTTGGGATGGATATTCTGCTTCATTTCCAATTTTTTATATATAAATTTTTATTAGTTTTTTAACATATCATTTTCAACAGTAATTAAAAGTACTTGTCCATCTTATACAATTTTTTTTTGCTTCCATCAATCACATCTGAAAATTTTCCAATCTAATCACTTAATATACATTTCTTACTTTCCCTATTACATTTAAATCTCATAACTAATATCTCTATTCTTTTTCTACTTTGCAACATTTCATCTATTTCTCCTTACAAAACTTCTTGTAGTCCTACTAACGTAATTTGTTGATTACAGTTGCTCTTCAAATAATTCGTATATTTCTTCCAATCTTCTGTGAATCTCTGGTCCCGCAGGTTTCAATCCTTCCTGTCATTTTATCCAATTCTGCATAGTCCATTAATTTTGTCTGCCATTCTTCTTTCATCAGAATTTCTTCTTGCTTCCATTTCTGGGCTAACAATACTCTTGTCGCTGTTGTTGTTGTTTCCAATTAGTGCCTGCTGCGTTCCAATTAGTCTTCCTGCTGAAATCCCGTAACTTTCCATACCACAAATGTTCTGTGTTTTGTCCTGCTTTTGTGTCAAGAATATGTTGCAGGCTAAACCCACAATAAAACTCCAGCTTGGAGACGTTCAAACGGCATAGCTACTGGAGCACCCTTGAGGCAGAATACATGTAAGCCAAGTGAGTCTAGCAAGCTCAAATTCCTATTCAGGTGTCTTCCAGAGTGAATCTGGTTTCAAGCATTCACCACCACTACCAAGCCCAGTGTGGGTTCAGCTCCTGCGGGTGGCAGACTTCCTGGACACTCTTCCTGGAAGAGCCAACCAAACTTACACAGTGGGTGCCATCAGGACTAGGCTTTGGGGCAGAATGAGCAAGAGGGGATCTCAGATTCAGCAGGACTGACTCACCACATGTTGACACAAGCATAGTCATGCCCACTGCCAACTAAAGTGTGATGGCCTGGGACTCGGGCTTAGACTCGGAACCGGAGGAGTCTCAGTCCGCACTGGATCCTCTGCCTCAGGCGGCATCTGGACCGAGTCTGGGGCCTGATTCTGAAGAGCCCCAGTCTGCACCGGTTCCCCTGCAATAAGCACCAGCTGGGCTGAGTCAGGGGCCTGAGCTTGCCCTGGCTCCAGATGCGGGGATTACCTCTGGGCAATCACATACAGCTGCTCCACTACCGATTGGGTCAGGGGAGGCTGAGGCGGCCTCTGGGTCTAGGAACCCACCCGCATCTCCCAAGCTGCAGAGGCTAAGGTCTGAGAGAAGGAGAGGCCTGAGTACTCGCAGGAGTGCTTGCCTTCAGGCGAGACAGGGAGGTGAGTCATCGGGGGATCAGGACCGGCCGTTACCCCAACAGAGATAAGAGGCTGTCGGACCCCGCCTCAGGTTGTGGGAGCAACATTGCTGCTTGCTGGAACCTGCCTGAGACCCTGTGCCTGACCTAGCCTGGTTTCCTGCCTTGTGTTTTGCCTTGGCCCTGTTGGACTGACTCCTCGCGGTATCCTTGGATTCAGGACTGAACCTGGACTGCGTTGCTCGGGTTAACCCCTGGGCCCAGCACATAAAGAGAGGGAGGGGGCATAAGACCATTTGCAGTAGACCACAAGCTGAACATGAATCAACAGTGTGATGCAAAAAAAAAGCTAATGCCATTCTAGGAGTATTGTGTTCCAAACATGTGCAGAGGAGACCAACCAAGATGATCGAGAGTCTGGGAACTAAGCCTTACGAGGAGCACTTGAAGGAGCTGGGTATGTTTAGCCTGGAAAAGAGGAGAATGAGAGGAGATATGATAGTCACCTTCAAATATCTTGAGGGCTGTCACATGGAAGAGGGAACGTGCTTGTTTTGTCCTGCTCTGGAGGGTAGGACTCGAACCCATGGCTTCAAGTTACAAGAAAGGAGATTCCAACTAAACATTCAGAAAAAAACTTTCTGACAGTAATAATAATAACAATATATTTTATTTATACCCTGCCCTGCCCTCTCTGGCCAGAGCCAGGCTCAGAGAGGCTAACATCAATAAAATTTCAGTAAAAACATAATAAGAAAAAACAATTTAAAATACAGGTTAAAATGCAATTTAAAATGCAGCCTCATTTTAAAAGTCAAAACCATGAGGGGAGGGAAACATAAGGGTCAGACTGAGTCCAAACCAAAGGCTAGGTGGAACAGCTCCATCTTGCAGGACCTGCGGAAAGATGTCAAGCCCCGCAAGGCCCTAGTCTCTTGTGACAGAGCGTTCCATCAAGTCGGGGCCAGTATTGAAAAGGCCCTGGCCCTAGTTGAGACCAACCTACCCACCTTGTGACTTGGGACTTCCAGAATGTTGTCATTTGTGGACCTTAAGGTCCTCCGCAGGGCATACCAGGAGAGGCGGTCCCGTAGGTACATGTTCAGCAGTGAACAGCCTCCTACAAGAGGCAGTGGACTCTCCTTTCTTGGAGGTTTTTAAACAGAGATTGGATGGCCATCTGTAATGGATGCTTTAGTTGGGATTCCTGCATTGCAGGGGGTTGGACTAGATGACCCATGGGTCCCTTCCAACTCTAAGATTCTATGATGAAGGGAAGTCATAGTCTCGCTCTATTCTGCCTTGGTTAGACCACACTTGGAGTACTGTATCCAGTTCTGGGCACCACAATTTAAGAAAAAGATTGACAGGCTGGGATGTGTGCAAAGGAGGGTAACGAAGATGCCCAAGGGTCTGCAAACCAAACCTTATGAGGAACAGTTGAAGGAGTTGGGTATGCTTAGCCTGGAAAAGTGTTGATTTAAAGCAGAGTCTGTCGTGCCCAGCGGAAGGATGAGGAGTACGTGCTACATACTCTATATTGCTTTATTTACAGTTCAAAGCTGGTATATTACAGAAAGACATCTTGCCTCTGCCGGAGCAGAGAAATGCATCCTCTCTCCTCGACAGCTCGGAGAGAATCACACAGTGAAAAACAGGAAACCAGTGTACGTCACATCCAGTCTCCCTTTCCCGTGAGAAACTCCAACAGTACAGACTGTGGAATGTAAACACCTGTCTCGTGACAAGTAGAGCTGCACAGTGAAGGAAAGCAGAAACCAACATCCTCCCCCCTTTCTGTGAACATCACTGGGCAGCGTGTTCGTACAGTATCAGTACAAACCCAACTTCTGCACATAGGTACAGTGTTGATCCCTTGATACAATCTTGGACAATACATCAGCAGGAATTTCATTACCTGGCATATAGGACACCGTTACGAGTCCCTTCTGAATACATTCCCTAGCATGCTGCAACTTTAATTGCAAGTGCTTTGTGCTTTGCTTACAACCTTCAGACTTCAGCAAAGCCAAACATGCTTTGTTGTCCTGGTAAACCTGGATTGGACATTTGACAGGAATTTTCATATCTTTGCACAATTGTACTAACCATTCACAATCCTTAAGTGAATAAGACAGTGCATTCAGTTCAGCTTCACAAGTACTTAAGCTAACTGTTGTTTGCTTCTTGCATGACCAATCAAACAGACCCTGATTGTACATGTAGCAAACTCCAGACGTACCTTTCCTGTCTGTAGCGTCACTTCCAAAACTTGCATCTGCAAATATCTCAAGACCACCAGACTTCTGATTGTTAAATCTCAGTCTGTAATGCATAGTGCCTTTCAAATACCGCGCTATGCGTTTCAGAGCTTTCCAATCCTTGACACTAGGATTGTTGACTTGTCTGCTTAGCAAATTACAGCTAACAGCAATGTCTGGTCTTGAACATCTGGCAATGAAGTTTAGCTTGCCTAGCACACTCCTGTACAGTGTAGTGTCAGAAAA